CTAGAATAACTCTAAACTTCAAAAAACCCATAGCTTTCCACATTCTCTGTTGCATCTCAGAGAATTCAGCATCAGACAGAGGCATATAAATCAAGGTGCTCATAACCATTTATCAAACTGAGCAAAGATGCTTAAATGATTAAGGAAATAAAGGGAAGAACTGGTGAAAAAACATCTCAGTACAAAAGTTCTATATTTTGCTAGAATTAAATAACAATGGCTGTTTCCTGATGTGTAGGAAACAAAAGTAAATAGAATTTTAGGCTATTCTTCCAAAGTTGTTTCAAAATTTTCCCACATTTTGCTACTTATCCAGTGCAGAAGTAAAAGAAGTAAAAGGTATAGCAACCAAGTGTTGGAAAAACTTGGTAACAGTTGACCAAGAACAGATTCAATTGTCCAGATATTTTTATGCTCCAACTTAAAAATAATTTTTTTGGCTTTTTTATGTCATTTTAGTTAAACTTCCTATTGAACAAATGATTGGATGCTAAATCTTAGTATGATGACGTTACCATATGATAAGGTTACCATAACTTACATTATCTGAAAAAGAACAAGCAGCACTGGCAAATACCACAGACAGAAGAATTATTTTTAGAACAGAAAATGTTTTCTATTTTTCTATTATCTAGCGCAATATATATGAAACATTAGATTTCTACTCTAATTCTACTTAAATGAAGTATTTTGGGGATGCCTGGATGGCTCAGTCTGTTAAGTGTCTGCTTTTGGCTCAGGTCATGATCCCAGGGTCCTGGGATCAAGTCCTGCATCAGGTTCCCTGCTCAGTAGCAGCTGCCTGCAGCTCCCCTTGCTTGTGTGTGTGTGGCTCTCGCTCTCTCTCTCTCCTTCTCCGACAAATAAATAAAATCTTTTAAGAAAAATTAAGTATTCTTGGGGGAAAAAACTTTCAATTTCCTAATCTGTAAGATAAGTGAACTGAGTTGGGTTTGTGAGGACCTTTCCTGATCTATATTGTCATTATGCTTGGTTTTTGTCTTGCAGTTTTTTCTAAAACATCCTGCCACAGGGGATGTGACACTGCAGCAGGTAACTTTTTATGGTGACATACACTTTCAAAGGTCCTGTCATACCTGATAAATTTGTTTTAAAAAAAAAAAATCAAAAAATCATTTAGCAAAGTATTCTTTAGATACTACTGGAAGAATCACATTAATATAATTTAAGAAGGATATTAATGATATTGTCGCATATATTCCAAATGTCTATAATGCATTACTTTCAGGAGAAAAAGGGAGGAGGAAAGGCCCGTAGATTAAACCTCTCCTTCCTGCCCCAAAATATACTGTAGAAAAACCTGAGCTTTCAGAAAGTACAGTATCTGAAATCACAATCTTATTTTCTCCATTAAATGGTTGTCAGAGGGACAATATAAAACAAATCAATAAAAACTCATAAAAATGCTGTTTCTCAAAATAAATGTCATACTCCGAACAATGCATAAATTCACATAACATCCTCCCTCTCAGACAGATTTGGCATTATCAGAATTGGATTCTAGCCCACCTCCGCCACCTAGAAGCTGTGACCTGGGCCTTTCAATTCAAACAAATAAAAGCTACTGTAAGCCAGGTAGTATGCTGGATGCTAGGGATACAAACAGAAATAAACACGGTCCATGTCCTCAAATCAGATTAAATGACTCTATCCAGACTTTGCTTCTGATTGTATTTTAGCATTTTAGCGCTTCAGGGGAAGGAAGGGAAGGACTGTTAACACTGAGCAACCACACCACTGAACACCTACCCTGTGCTTTATATATATCTTATTTAACAACAATCTTACTAAGTTAATAGTTATGTCTGTCTTACAAAGGAAGAACCTGAGGTGCACTGTTACAAACTTGGTTAAAGCCAAGTTACAGAGCCCAAATTAGAACTCAGACCTTTCACCTTCACTGTGCTATCTAATAAATGAATAAGGGCAATTAATTTCAACTTTGGCAACTTTGAAAAGGTCCTTATAATGAAGGGATTTAAGACAAACCTTGAAGGTTATGAAAAACCATTTGAGGCAGGGAGAAGAGCAGGAATAAGGGTATGGTACTGAGAGTATGAGGTACATGCAATGGATAAGTAGTCTTACATGACTAGCATATGGGGAACAGAACTTCTAAAACAAAAATTAAAAAAGAGGTTGGTGTCAAACCATGGGCTTCAAAATTTGCATTACTTCCCTCCAGAGTTCTCTGAGTTATCTTCCTGAAGTTTCTTCTTATGACTTTAGTGCACTGATGTCACTTCATGCATTAATCACATCTTAATAATAACTGAATGTTTAGTGCACGCTTATAATACTTCAGGCACTGTTTTAAACACTGTGTATGTATTAACTCATTTCATCCTCCTAATAATCCGATGAGGCAGTTACTTTTATCATCATTAATTTAAAAATGAGACACAAAGAAAAAATGATTGTACGGTATCAGTCAATAAGTGACAGAAATGAGATTTAAACCCAGATAATCTGGCTCCAGAGCCTGAACTCTTAACCTGTGCTATTCTACCTCTCCCAAGAAGTTCTTTTTGTTTCCCCTATCAAGTGTGAGTTCCTTGAGGCCCAGAATGAAAATTGTTTTCATTGTTGTTGTTGTCGTTGTCGTCGGGAGGCAGAGGAGTAAAGAGAGAGGAAGCTAGACCACTTCAGCAGGTAGGACAATTCCTGGCACACAGTAGGTATTCATAAATATTTGTTGAGCTGAACCCGCCTTGAATATTTAACTAAAGTCTGGATTACTTTCCCTATGGGTCAGGGGCCAGCATATTTTCTGTAAAGGGCCAGATAGTAAATACTTTAGGCTTTGCAGGCCAAAGGTCTCGGTCACAATTATTCATGTCTGATCTTACGGCACAAAAGCAGCTTGACAATTCTTAAATGAGAATGGCTGTGTTCCAATAAACCTTTACTTAAAAAACGGGCAGAAGGCCACCTGGCCCATGGGCTCGTTTGCTGATCCCTGTTACACGTGATAGAAATATATCAAAGATTTCTAAACAAGAGAAGTAAAATGATTGACAATGCGTTTTAAGAAGGTAACTGTGATGACAATATAATGAAATGGAGAAGAATTAGGAGTTCCAGTATTAGAATCAGAAATGATGCTCTCCCCCTTTATATTTCTAAAATTATTCCAAAACAGGGCTGTCCCAACAGAGATACAACGGAGGCCACAAACATGAGCCAAATATATAATTTTAAATTCTCTAGAAACCACATTAAAAATTTTTAAAAGGAACAGGTAAATTAACTGTAATAATTTTCTTAAATATAATATGTTAAATATAAATATTTCCAATGTTTATGATATACAGAATATATTTATTAACATTTGTTCTATTAATTTATATCCCACATATATTATATTCAATATATCCAAAATAGTGTCATCTTTACAGGCAACATAAAAATTAAGATATTTTACATTCTTTTTCATAAGTAAATCTTCAAAATTCAATGTGCATTTTACACTTACCACACATCAGTTCGGATTAGCTCCATTTCAAAAGTCCAGTAACCATTCGTGACTCTCATACTGGACAGCACAAAAGAATGACCAAATCAAATACCCTACAGTATCTCCACCTGCAACTGCTAGTTTTGGTATCTCCTTGCCTGACCTGCGGACTGACATTAGACCTAATTCTGAACTATAAGCTAGCTTCACATTACTCAATAAAGCAATGTCTTCATTTCTAACGTCACATTTCCAACCATTTAGTTTCCATAAACATCTTAAGGATTCATCCTCATATCATGTACTCAGGCACCTTAAGTCAGTTTTACAAATGAGGAAACGAGGTTGAGAGAAGAGTCAGCCATTGAGAGGCGTGACAAAATCGAAATCTCCTGGCTTCAAATTAAACCCCAACAGCACCACCACCATTGTCAAAGTCGTAATTTTGCGTTTAGCTGTGAGACTGGCCTTTATTTCCTCCTCCACTGGACTGTAACCTCCACGGAAACAGGGACTGTTCTTCCTGACCACTATGTCCCCAGTACCCGGCAAGGTGTTTTGCCAGTAAGCAGTATTTGTTAAATGAATGAATGACAGTTACCATTTCCTCTACTGTTTTTAGTCGATTAAACGTTATTTATTTTTAGTAACTAATGTGAAGAAAAGGCACTACGCCATAAAAACTGTTTTAAGCTGAAGCTTAAATTTACTTCCAATATAATCCAAAGAATGAAAAAAGGGCTGGAAGCCAAGACCAAAGTTCTAGCTCCAGTCTGGCCGTGAATTTATTGTAAGCTCTCGTGTAAATTATTTCACTTCTCCAGACAAAATTAACTTTCTCAAAACGAAAGAGCAGGGCTATAATCTTCTATGATGCCGTTCAGAGCTAGGTTTTTTGTTTTCTTTTTTTTTTTTTTTGGAAATTAACTTGACGCGGGTCAGCTTTCCATTTCCTCGTACTCTCCCTTCTGCGCCCTCCGCAACTAACTTAGGTTCCAAGCGGGACTCTCTCCGCGTCCCGGGACGCCAGCCGCACACCCAGCCTCAAGCCGGTGGCCACTGGCCAGAGCCGCCATCTTCTCCCTCTCCCCGCCCTCCGCCTTGGCCGGACCCCAACCGCCACCCGCGGGCACCGCGTAACGCAGAACCTCACCTCTCCTCGCAGTCTTTGCATTTCACCTGCAGTGGGACTAGCTCCTGGAACAGAACCTGGCTCATGTTGGCCCGCTGCCCCTGCCAGTAACCGGAAAAGTCCAGCAGGCCCAGCCCACGAACTATCCTAAAGGAGTCCGGGTCCTGCTAAAATTTGAGTTTGGCGCTCGGCTTCCGCTGAGGAGGCGGGGAAACAGAAACAGAGGGAAAGCGGGGAAGACTTGGACCTCGTCAGCCACCATCAGTTTCTTCCGGTTTTGCAGAGGATGGGGGGGCAGTTCCGGGTATTGACTTGCGTGGCGGGACCCGCGGCAGCCATATTTGTTAAGGGAAGGGGACCCGAGGGAAGCAAAGAACTTTTCTTCTCTTCACTCGCTGCTTACCACCACAAACGAACTCTGAATTATGGCGGCTTCTGCGCCGGCCACGCATACGACTGACTTCCCGGTTGAGGGTCGCTGCAGTTACTATGTGGAAAAGAAGAAGCGCTTCTGCAGGATGGTGGTGGCAGCGGGGAAAAGATTCTGTGGGGAACACGCTGGAGCCGCGGAGGTCTGGTATTGCCCCTACCCTTTGGAGAGTTGGAAATAAGTTTCTTGGTCCGGAAACTCCCTTTGCCAGAATTCTGCTCTGTTCGCTGGATTTTTTGGCTTTTCCTGTACTAAGCGCAGCCCTGCCCTCCCTATGGAGCGGTACTGAGCCCTAGCGAAGTGTAGTGCTTCTCGCGCTAACTAAAGCGCCAGCAGTGACCCGTCTATCTTGATACTAAGTTAGGGTAATAGTAGATCTTCGTTTTACTCCAAGCCACCGCCTTATACACTCCGCCCAGTCTCCGCCTTCTTGATGGGAAATCGCAAGGTTTCACTAATTGTGTTCTGATTGTTTTGTAATAATCACTTCTTGTGAATACGGTTGAGAAACTTTAAAAAAAAAATTTATTTAGACACACAACTCTTTAACTGTAGGGAACAAACTGATGGTTACCAAAGGGGAGAGAGAAGGAATGGGTGAAATAAGTGCTGGGGATTAGGGAGTGCGCTTGCGAGGAGCACGGAGTGATTAAAAACTTAAAAAAAATTTAGAGTAGTCTTTTGAAAGCAACTTGTAACTGCTGAAAGGGGGAAGGAAAGATTGAAAATCGTGTAAGAATTGACTTTTTAAAATTGAAACCGGAGGCGTACAATTTTGTTTGAGAATACTGTTAGGCATATTAATTGTACTGTCAATATACAGTTGACCCTTGGGGCGCCTGGGTGGCTCAGTCGGTTAAGCCTCTGCCTTGGGAGGGGGTCATGGTCCTAGGGTCTTGGGGTTGAGCCCCACAGCGGTCTCCCTACTCATTGGGGAGCTTGCTTCTCTCTTTCCCTCTGCCTCTTCCTTGGTTTTTGTGCTCTCTTTCTCTCAAATAAATAAAATCTTTAATTTCGTATATATATATATGTATATATATATATGTATATATATATGTATATATAATTTCATATATATATATATATATATATAGTTGACCCTTGACCACGTGTTTGAACTGCCAGTCCACATATACCTGGATTTCATAAACACAGTACAGTATTATGAATGTGCTTCCCTTATTAAGATTTTCTTAATAACATTTTCTTTAGGTTTATTGTAAGAATACAGTGTATAATACATGCAACAAAAAATATGCATAATCAGCTTTATGTTAGTAGTGAGGCTTTAGGTCAGCTGTAGACTATTTGTACTTAATTCAAAAAGTTTTAAATCTCATTTTTTGAAAAGTCAAAAGTTGCTTGTGGAGGAGGGATGTGGCTTCCCCTCCCCCCTTTCAAGAGTCAACTGTATTTTGTGTGTATTTCCTCAGGATATATATGATAGAAAATAAAAGTAAGAACAAGAGATGCAGAACGCTTGTAGAAGAACCTGTTTAGTCAGTTTTGGAAACCAAATAGGCAAGCACCTGGTTTCATGGCTTCTGGATGTCCAATATTATTTACATTATTTCTATTAGGTGGTTTATCCTGGGCAATATCCAGTACAGATCAGGGTTCCTTCATCTGCTACTGTCCATCATAGCATATCTCTACTTCGTATTTTTGATTTGACGGATACTTGCCTAGAGTGAAGTATACAGAAACAAGCATATTCTTGTTTTGGAATATGGAAGACCCATGACTTACATTGAGAACTCTTCAAAGTATACCTACAGTTGTATTGTGGGTTGAGGAGATCAGCAAACATCCCTTGCTCAAAAAATGAGATTTAGCTAATTAATTAAATTTTTAAACATGAGATTTATGGTGGGAGAAAAGTTTTGTTCTCACTCTAAGACCTTATTATATTTGACTTTAACAAAACATCTCAAAGATGACTGCAGGTGCTAACAGTAGTAGAATGTAACTAGTTCCTTACAAGTTGATTGGTATTACCAGAGAGAAAGGAATGTTGTTATTGGTCCCTTGAAGAAAGATTGCAAGACACCAAGGGAAACATGACACATGACGCAATTTGATTTTCAACTGTGGGCATCCTACTAAATCTGCAATATAAGATATATGATCTAATTAAGCATTATGTTTCCATCTTTTTTGTCTTAAGTATCATATATAGCTGAGACCACTTGTACATAGTTTTATCCTCTGGTTCTTAACCAGAGGGTGATTTTGCCCCCCAAGAGACATCGCAAAAGGGGCGCCTGGGTGGCTCAGTCAGTTAGGCGACTGCCTTCGGCTCAGGTCACGACCCCAGGGTCCTGAGATTGAGCCCCACATTAGGCTCCCTGCTCAGTGGAGAGCCTGCTTCTCCCTCTCCCTCTACCTACTTGTACTCTCTCTCTCTATCTTTCTGTCAAATAAATAAATAAAAATCTTAAAAAAAAAAAAAGACACCACAAAAGATTATTACAAAATAGTGAGGCAAATTATAGTCGATGCTATCGCAGATTTGAAATTCCATGTAGGCCTTCTCTAAATCTATTTGAAGCTATAAACCCTCGTTATCCAAAGGAGTATTTGCTCGTAGAAACAAAAACTAGCTACTTTGGAGATTTTTGTTGCTAAACTTATTTTGCCAATGTTTTATTATTGTCCTTTTAAGGTTTCCTTACCTTGTTTTGGGAACACATAGACTTATGATTACATTGAATTTATATCTAGTATCTGTAAGCAATGACTTGATATTTTTCAACCAAGTCAATATATGATCTTTCTTTCTTAGGAAGAAAATGCTCGGAAAAGAATTCTGTGTCCTTTAGATCCAAAACAGTAAGTATGGGTCCAATAAGGGTTTTTCTATGCTAGAAAGAGTAATTGTCACAGGTCTTATAAAATTATTTTAAATACTTTTCTCTTTAAATTTAGTACGGTATATGAAGATCAACTATCAAAGCATTTGAAAAAATGTAACTCAAGAGAGAAGCCAAAACCTGTAAGTGTTTTATCACTTTGATCAAATTGAAAGGTGATATGTGTGGTATGTAATGTTCGTATATACTTAGTTGATTACAAATGTGAATACTTAGCAAGACTCTAGCCTTAAGGCTTGAATGTGGTAAATGCATTTGAGTGTATAGGACATCAGACTGTGAATCCACTTATAATCCTAATTCAGATAATAGAATTTGTGCAACAAGTATATTGTTTAGAGAGTAATTTCACAGTTTATTCAAAATATTTACTTAGTGCTTACTAAATTTATTTCAATAAAATATGGCCCCAGCCTTCAAAGAGTTTATTTGAGACTGATAAGTTAACTTGTAAATAAAGGATCTTAATAAGTTTAGTGAAAGAAGTACACATGTCGTAAGAGCACATACTTGTATAAAAATTAAAATTATATCCAAGGGGTCAAGAAAAGCTTTCCAGAGGGAATAACACTTAAGCTGAGTCTTGATTTGGCAAAGAAAAGGAAGAAAAGTCCTTATAGGTGAGAAGAACTATATGCACAAAGGCAGAAAGTGAGAAACCACATTGAGACTTTGAAGAACTCGGACTTCATTCTGAAAGATATGGGGAACCATTGAAAGATTTTAAGCTAAAGAATGATGTGGTCAGCTTTACCTCTTACAAAACTTTCCCTCAGACCAGTGTGGGAAGATGGCTTGGAATTGGAAGGACTGGTGAGGGCCTGTTACTGAAATCCAGGTAGGACATCATAAGTCACTAAATGAAAGAGGATGGAAAGGGTATAAATGCAAGAATTATTTAGGTAGCAGAATCAAGAAAAGTTGGTGACCAAAAGCTTAGAGTTGGATATGTGAGTCTGAAAGTCAGTAGAGTAGTTTGGAAGTCAGTACATACAGATCATAGGTAAAGCCTTGAATTTTTAAGTTACCCAGGGTAAGAGATAGGAAGGGTGGAGGAGGAACTTACTTATTCAATAAATATTAATTGAGTACTTATACCAGACATTGTACCAAGCACCCTGCCTATAAGAACATTACAGTCTAGTAGGAGAGACAAAAAATATAATATATTTAAAATTGATTAAGTACAGAGTGCTGTGGAAGAATAAAGGAAGAGAGCCTAACCCTCTTTTGGGAGAAATAGGGGATGAGAGAGATGAGGAAGAAATCAGGGAGGCTTCTCTGAAGGAGTGTCATACAATGAGACTTACAGGTCAAAGGAGAATCAGCCAAGGGCACCTGGGTGGCTTAGTTGGTTAAGTGTCCAATTTTTGATTTCTATTCAGGTAATGATCTCATGGTTGTGAAATCAAGCCACAAGTCGGGCTCCACGCTGGGCATGGAGCCTGCTTAAGATTATTTCTCCCTCCCCGTCGGCCCTCCCCTCCCCCCAAAAGGGGGGGGCGATGGGAGGAGACTCAGCCAGACAAGGAAAAACAAACATATGTAAGCACCTAGAAGTGAGAAAGTTGATAGCTTTATCTGGGACTGGGCATTGCACGTGACTGGAGTATAGAATACAAGAGGAGAGCTGAGTGAAGATGAGATAAGATAGCCAGGAAGTAGAGCATAAGACCAAGAACAGAACTCTAGGTGACACTGACATCAAAGTGTGAGCTGCTCCTACCCTCAATGGGCTTTTGGCATTTCAAGTGGAATAGTCATGTCCTGTGTATTTCAAACATCCCTGTATTTAGTATTCCTGGCCTCTGAGCAGCAAATGGCAAAGGCACTTGTGAGGAATATGAAGGATCTGAAGTGTAATCTTATTGTCAAGCTAACAAGTTAGCCTGCAGGTTTGTGGATGCTGGCAGAAGAGACTCCTGGGTCAGAGACAAAGGACTTCATTGCTCACTACTCAGCAAGTAACATGGGCTTCTTGCCTGCATTGATGCCCTTTGTTCCCTAACGTCCATGGAGTCAACAGGGCCTAGGTGAATCCTGACATTTTTGTGCATAGCTTATGTCACAGCTGAAGAACCTCAAGATTATGAAATACATTTCTTTTAAAATAAGCAGTAAAGGGACACCTGGGTGACTGTCCGTTGAGCTTCTGACTCTTGGTTTCAGTTTGGTCACGATCTCATGGGTCATGAGATTGAGCTCCATGTTGGGCTCTATGCTCAGAGGGGAGTCTGTTTGAGGATTCTTTCCCTCTACCCCAGCCCCCACTTGGATGCATGCTCTTTCTCTCTCTCAAATAAATAAATCTTAAGAAAAAGATAATAGGGGCACCTGGGTGGCTCAGTCAATTAAGGGTCCGACCCTTGATTTCACCTTAGGTCATGATCTCAAGTTTGTGAGATCAAGCCCCACGTCAGGCTCCGTGCTCAGTGCAGAGTCTGCTTGAGATTCTTTTGCCTCCTCCCTCCCCCATCCCTCAACTCCTCCCAGCATGCACATGCATGCTTTCCCTCTCTCTCTAAAATAAAAAAATGAAATATTTTAAAAGATAATAAAAAAATAAATGGGCAATAAGGAAACCTGCCTGACCTTGTTCCATAAGTAGACATTTCTTTATTACTCTGTAATAAGCAGGCCTGCCATCTGCTCTAGGAGAACTATTTCTGTCTTCCAAGACTGCTTGGTATACAAATGTCCTTGAAAGAAGAGTCTGGAACAAAGGTGTCAGTGCGTATTACTTGTAACACTTGAAGTAAATTGAGAGACCCATGGAGAATTGTCTCCCAGTAGCACCTCTCAGTCATTTTGACAATAAAATACCACCATACATTTCCAGATGCCTTCCAGCTGAGAACCAGCTTAGGTCAGATGACATAAGCTTAACAGGAAGCATTTTTACATTAAGATCTGTAGAAGAAAAAAGATGACCACCCCAGTTAGCCCCTTAGTAAAAAGAATGTTGCTTTTACTTTCAAGTATGCATGGAGATTGGCTTCCTTACCTAAGTGCTAGATTTTAGTTCAGGTAAACAGATGGAATGCATGCTCTCGGAAAAGTTTAAGAGAAGAGGTGAATTTATTAATAATGGAATACCCCTGCACAGACACCATTGCATGCCAAGATACTGTGGAAAGGAAAGGGAGGAAAACAATGGGATGATAGGATGCAGAAAAAAATGCAGAGTGGCATTTATGTAGTGCACTATGCATAATGTGAAACTTGGAACCCAGGCAAAGTTTTATCACTATTGTGCTTTAATTTATAAAACTATTCATTGTTTTTTAAAAAAAATTCTGTATACTGGGGCACTTGGGTGGCTCAGTCACTTCAGTATCTGACTCTTGGTTTTGACTCAGTTCATGATCTCGTGGGTCGTGAGATCGAGCCCCAGTTCCAACTCCATACTCGGTGGGGAATCTGCTTGAAAATTCTCCCCCTCTCCCCCCACTCATTCTCACTCCTCTCTCTCACTAAAATAAATCTTTCAGAAAAATTCTGCATACGAGATAAAAGTAAATTGGTGATACATTTCTCCAGTATGAATAGTTTTCACATTTAAAAATCTAGTCCACAACACAATTTACCTGGAGCACTCTTGGCAATCATTTTAAACTAAGAGTACATCAAATTATAATAGTTATACCTAATTTTCTATTACAGTTTTGCCAGTCATCCAATGGAACATTGTAATACCTGTTGTCTTCTCCTGTTCCACTTAATCACCAGTATCCTTATTATCCATATAAGTAAAGGCAGCAACACACAGCATGTTACCCTTCTGTGTAACAAAAGCCCGTTAGTATGCATAAAGTCCCAGGAGTAGTTTTTACTTTTAGAACGGGATTTGTAGAAACAGTGTTATTTCATTCTTCTATATCTGCATGGTCCAGTGTGGTAACCACTAACCATGTGTAACTATTTAAATTCGAGGTAATTGAAGTGAAATTGAAGATCCAGTTCCTCAATCACACTAGTAGTATTTCAAAACTAGTGGCTATCATGTTCTCCAGGGAAGATCTGGAATTACTTCGATCATTGCAGAAGATTCTGTTGGAAGATGCTGATCTCGATACTTACATAAAATCTTTCTGAAGACACACTAGAATGATCTTATGCTATGTTATTTTAAACAACATAGTGACAATACATTTCTATTTTTTATTTTAGATAAAAAATTTAATAAATTTATTTTAATTTATTTTATTTTATTTTATTTTTTTAAAGATTTTATTTATTTATTTGACAGAGAAATCACAAGCAGGCAGAGAGGCAGGCAGAGAGAGAGGAGGAAGCAGGCTCCCCTAGAGAGCAGAGAATCCGATGCGGGGCTCGATCCCAGGACTCTGAGATCATGACCTGAGCCGAAGGCAGCGGCTTAACCCACTGAGCCACCCAGGCGCCCAATTTATTTTATTTTAGATAAAAAATTTATTTAATCAGCATTTTAAAAGAGAAGAAATCAGACCTAAACCATTGTAATACCATATCCTCTCTCTCTTTTTGGTCATGCTGCCTGTCTGATAAACAGCCACGTGTAGTTGATACTTTGTTGTTTTTGCTATTAACACCATAAGCAAAACTGACACAGCTCTCAATCTGTGCTATAGATAGGTGAAAACGTTAATAAAAATTACTAACAAATTTCTTTAGAATATGACTGCTTATTCAAACAATATCTCACTAGAATATATGGTTCATGAATATAGAGATTTTTGTCTGTTCTGTTCTCTACTGTGGTGAGTCCTTGGCACTAAAGCAAATTAAAGACCATAGTAGGTGCTCAATAGTTATTTAATTCATAAATGGGAAAAAGGGCGGATGGCAGGTACAGAGTAAGGGACGAAGGGAAGGATCAGTTTTTGACCTTAATTTTTTTGAGCTCTTCACATTAATGACAGTATTGTGGTTTTGTTTTTGTTAAGGACTTCTTTATTCAAGATATTAACGCAGGCTTAAAAGATGAAACAGAAATACCTGAACAATTAGTAAGTATTTGACTTTATATTTAATTTTAAAGGGTGTCTGTGAGCTATTTCTGTGAATAAGCTATGTCCCAATTTTTGTTTAGGATAAATTAATTATTTTGAATTTAGAATGTATTTTTTCTATAGAATCCATATTATTAGTGATGGTTCATTCCCAGATAAGCTCATGCCCCATTTTTGTTTATAGGTTCCAATTTCTTCTCTTTCTGAAGAGCATTTGGAAAACTTAATTAAGAAATTGCAGAAAGCAGGTGAAGGTAAGTTTGCCTACAGTTGCAAGTTAAAATTTTTAAAATAATTAGGTGCCACATGAATTGATGCCAGCGTGGTTTACAAAATGTTACTACCATTGCTCAGACCCCTACGGTTTCATGTTTGGTTGCTTAAGCTATTGTGCTTATATTTGGCACAGGTTTGAACTCTACACTTAAAGATCAAATTATGTCCCATCCAGCATTGCATGATGCCCTTAATGACCCTAAAAATGGTGATTCTGCAACCAAACACCTGAAACAGCAGGTATGTTTAGGCCAAAGTAATTATACTAAAATTGGCCTTTTGTTCATTTGTCAAAAGCTAACATTCTTTCTAAATATAGTTCTTAATGCGATTTTGTTTAGTTTATCTTGTAGGGAACGGAATCTTTCCATTTAAAAAATAAATGTAAACATATATTAAAAACTTTTGGCATGGATATGGTTCTGAGTATTATGTGTTAAAAATTTCAAAGCAAGGGAAAAAATTTAAAGCCAAACAAAAATTATCAATGTGCTCGTGCTACCTTTTGTAGAAATTACCTTGCTTTTTTCCAATTCAAGCCAGGTGTGTTTGCTTGAGTTTATAAAATAATCTTGTGAAGTTTGCAGGCTTCTATTTTAGGTAACATTGAAAAATTAAAGTTACTTGGTCCAAGAAGATGCTTTGTTGAGTTTGGAGCAGGAAAGGGAAAATTATCTCATTGGGTTGATATTGCCTTAAAAGATGCTGAAAAAGTTCACTTCATCCTAGTAGAAAAGGTGACCACGAGATTCAAGGTAAGTGAAACCATGGCAGTATATTAGTAACCAAACTTTGTTTGTACTTTTTTTGTTAAATAAAGAAACAATGATACTCAGAAACATGTCTCTTAAAGAAAATTATTTTTCATGTTGATTTGATATGGCTTTTTATTCTAATTATATTGATAAACTGAAGATAAATTTTTTAATCTAAATTTTAATAGTCCATTGAGCTGAGTTCTTTAAATTATTTGCAGAGACAAGAAAATATGTGGAAAGGGCCACGCTCAAGCTAGGAGTTAAAAGTCTTGGGTTCTAACCTACCTGTACCACCTACTGACTATTCATTCAGTAAATATTTTATTCATTCAATAAATATTTATGGAGCCTACCATTAGGCACCATGATACACATTGGGTAGGTAAAGTCAAGACAAAGTCCCTATGTCCTATTACTGATATTTAGAAAGGAGAGGCAGACAAATTAATGATTATAGAAAAGTATCAAAGTATGAAAAAAATCTGCACAGAGTATAGTATGGTTTCAAAAGAGGGAGTGACATGTTTTATTGCAGGGAAAGGACGCAAATAGAAAAGGTGATGCCTGAATTGTATCTTAAAAGGAGAATTGGTGTTTCCTAGATAGAGGGTTTGAGGAACAGTGTAACCAAATACCTGAAATGATAGGGAAACATGGAAACACTTCTGTCTGATGGGAATGCATGGTCCCAAGTAGAATTCAGTGGTGATGAGATAGGAGAGGATGGCTAGACTGGAAGGTGTCCTGTTTTGTGCCAGGGGAAGGAGTTTGATTCTATCCTGCTACGTGCTGGGGATTTGGAGGAATGAGATTTAGTTCTTGTCTTTGAGAAGCTAATATCTAGTGGGGCATACTTATGAGTATTTTGGTTCAGTATGCTAAGTCTCTTATGATAATGGGAAGTACCAAAAGCCATAGGAGCAAGAAGATAGAACACCAGCCCCAGTGTAGTGTGGGTCAGGGAAGGTTTCCTGGAGGAAGTGACCGCTGAGAGGAGATTGAAAGAATATGTAAGAGTTGGTGAAGAAAATAAGAAGGCTTTATTAAAGTTCATCCTAGCAGTACCATTAAAGCTATATCAGAAGAGTCTGAAACTTGAAGTAGGGAGATTAATAACAAGATAATTATATCCAGTAATCCAAGTAAGAAATGGGCCAGAGCTAAAGCTGTTGTGGTGGGATGGAGAGGAGGGAAAGAATATGAGAAATGCTAAGATTTTGGAAGCAAAGAGAGTTGGTGATTTATTAGTCATTAATAATGAGGAGTTATTTCAGGTGACACTTTATGGCTTTAAGTGAATGGTGGTGCTTTTTATCTAAGATAGGGAATATAGAAGGTGGAAGAGAAAGAATAGGTTTGAGGGGAGAAATGATGAGTTCAGTTTTGAATGAGTTTGCAGTTGAAGTAGAGCTTTCTACTTCACAGCTAGATATGTATCCGGTGCTTATCAAAAATATCTGGGCCACAGTGTTGATTTGTAAGTCATAGGCATAGGGACATAGATCAGAATGGTGGTTGTGATCTTTCAGAGAGAGTAAGAAGAATGAGCCAAAAATAGTATATTACGGCCTAACAAAAGCAAAGGAGCTGGCAAATAATCTTAGGTTAGTCACTTAAGATCTATAAACCTTAGTTCCTTCATCAATAAATTGGGAAGTTTTAGAGTTAAAGGAAATAATTATACATAATTTTTTAAATTTTTCAAGCCTTTTAAAAATGTATGATATTGTTATTTTGGAGTTTCCATCAAAGAATATAACAGTGATAAATTTTTAACTAGTGATTCTGTTTTTTAAATATTAAAAAATAAGATGGGAAATTATTTCCTCTGAATTTTGAAAACAAATAGAAATATTTTTAATTTCATAAAGCTTTTTTTAAACATAAAAAAGCTGCTGTTATGACAATGTTCTATTTGTGCAGGTAGATGGCAAACACAGAAAGAAAAATTCAGTATTTGAGAGACTTCAGATTGATATTCAACACTTGTGTTTGAGTAAGTTGCTAACTTTCGGTTGCCCTAGCATAAGTCATAGAAGTTTCAAATTCTGACAGTTGCTTAGAAATCCAGTGATGCAGAACAGTCCTTCAGGGAAGACAAACTAAAATTAATGCATTATTAATATAGAGTGTTATATCTATCATTTGGATAAATGTAAATTGAATTAGGGTTTGAACTTTTTTAAGATGAGGTTTCAGTTTCAATTAGAAATGAAGTGTCATATTACAAAAGTTTAAAAGTTTTGGTGACATATCCCTACATTATTTCTTTGTCTTTTCTAATTATGATTAGATCATAATTAGGGGGCGTCTGGGTGGCTCAGTTGGTTGAGCATCTGACTCTTGATTTCCAGTCAGGTCACGATCTCAGCATGAGATCAAGCCTTGGCTTCAGACTCCATGTTGGGCATGAGGCCTACTTAAGGTTTGCTCTCTCCCTCTCTCTCTGCCCCACCCCCTTAAAAAGGCTGGTGCCTTCTGCCTGTCATTAACATGACTTTACGTAAACTGTTAAAGAAATGAGTATTCTTTGTCCAGCTGATGGTAAAAGATACTTCCTAGGATTTTTTTTTAAGATTTTATTTATTTGACAGAGAGAGAGATCATAAGTAGGCAAAGAGGCAGGCAGAGAGAGAGGGGGAAGCAGGCTCCCCACTGAGCAGAGAGCCTGATGCAGGGCTCAATCACAGGACCCAGATGATGACCTGAGCTGAAGGCAGAGGCTTAACCCACTGAGCCACCCAGGCGCCCCCTCTAGAATTTCAAATTGTACCAAGATAATTAATCTCTGTGGAAGTCACATTTCATACACACACACACCCCTTCAGTCATACACTTTGTGCCTTTTCTGTGTCTTTTTATAGTTTTTTCTATTAATACAAGCATATCCTAGTAACCTCTTCCATCCACTAATTAATACAGCTTTGTGAAACCCAACATTTACATATAAATCACTGTATTTAAAACTGTTTAACTGAAAATATTACTTTTCTAATGTTGAAAATCCTAGACAAGTTTTTATGCTATGTGTTGAATTTTTATTAAGAATACTGAGGGGCGCCTGGGTGGCTCAGTGGGTTAAAGCCTCTGTCTTCAGCTCAGGTCATGATCTCAGGGTCCTGGGATCAGGTCCCACATCGGGTTCTCTGCTCGGCAGGGAGCCTGCTTCCTCCTCTCTCTGCCTTCCTCTCTGCCTACTTCTGATCTGTCTCTGTCAAAGAAATAAATAAAATCTTTAAAAAAAAAATACTGAAAAGTCGCCTACCATATTTATTAGTTTCTAACCCTTCTGTGCCCACCATGTGCCCCCATTCCATATTTTTAAACTGAAATAAGAGAAAAAGGAGCAAATATCTACAATCTAGGTCAATACTGCCCTTTTAGAATTTGCATTAATTGGAAAATCTTTTTCCTGCGAAGCAGTGACTGTCTAAAAATATAGCCACGAGTCAAAATGTGACCTATAAACTCCTGACTTCCATACTTCTGTTTTTTCCTAATAGTTAAAATAAAGACTTATGTAATGACATACTGAGGGTGATTAAAGGTAGTTTGAGATGAGGAGAAAGTGACATTTATTTAAAGGACTTTTCCTTTCTGGGTGGCAGGGTTGGAATTGACTAATCATTTAAGGGGAAGAGAAAGAATAAGAAGTATCTGTTGAATTAGGTCACTGCTGACATCCCCACCTCCTTTCTTTTTTCTTTGTTTTTTGTCTTTTTTTTTTTCCCCCTATTTGGGGCTTTTATTAAAGTTACATTTATGTGGTTAAGAGTCAAATAGTTCTATAGGTTCTCAAGTTGTTTTAAACATAGCACCAGCCACTCCCTCCCTGCCATGGCTCTCTCTTCAAAGCCAACCACATTTATCTCTTCTGGGTGAATTTTTATATTTATCTAAAGTGACAACAGGCTTTTGTTTTACCTGATTCCCTTTTTTTCCCCCACAAGCATAATCTATCGGTTTTTCCCAATGGAAGATGAAAATTTTCTACCCCTGCCCCATCTCAAGTGCAAACACCTCCCATTCCTCATCTTTCTAATATGTATTAAATGATTAAATCATCATTTTTTATCCCCAGACCATGTAGTAAATTTCTTTACCCTATATTTTTTATTGTTTGCTAAATTAATAATTTAGTTTTATTTACTTGGTCTTTTAAAAATGTATTTGTTATAAATACATTCATCAAGTATTCTGTTAGTTTTCATCTTCCTGAAAAATTCTTCCCTGCATATGCTTCAGACATGTTCTGATCAAGACTGGATGCCCTTTGTTCCTGGGGCACAATGATCAACATTAAAACTCTCTTCAGTCTCATCCTCCTTCACTATCCTGGGTGGAAATTTCTTTTTCCACATCTTTTCCCACATTTTCCTCTGTTGATTTAGTTTTTTCGGGCAGAGCACCTAGTCCTATAGCTTCCTGAGAAACAGTGCATTAGAGATAAATGTGAGACCTTGCATTGTCCGGAAACATCTTTTATTTTACACTTGACTTGGCTGGGTATTTGTATTTCTAGGTTGAAAATCATTTTCCTTTAGAATTTTGCAAGTTCTGTTTCACTAGTATTATTTAAAAGTTCAGTGCTATTCTGAATCTTGGTCCCTTGTACTTGAGCTGCCTTTTTTTTTTTTTTTTTAAATGTATAGGTCCTTTATCCTTAGTGTTTAAAATTTTCACAGTAATATACCTTCCTATGGTTGTTTTTATCCGCTTTGCCTGACGCTTTGATTTATACCAGTGGTTTTCAGTGGAGGCTGCTTTGTCCTTCAGGGCGCATTGGCCATGTCTGAAACACTTCTGGTTGTCATAGTAGTAGGCATGCTGCTGACATCTAACAGATACAGACCAGAGGCCTGCTAAATATCCTATACGGTATGGTAGAGCTCCCCAAAACAAAATTATTGGGGTCAAAAAGTCAGTAATGCTAAGGATGAGAAATCCTGATTTAGAGATTCTAGTGCTCTCAGCTTTCTGGGTAATTGCCTTGCATTCTTACAGTATAGTTACTAGACCTGCTGGGGTGGTTTTCTACTTCTCTATGTTGTCTTTGGTCTTTTTCCTATACTATCTAAGATTTCCCCAACTTAATTTCTTCTCTCATAGTTTTAATTTCTAAGATGTTTTTCTCTGAGTTTACCTTTATTGTTGTATCTTGTTCTTTTTTATAATTATAATATCTTTCTGAGGATATTAATAATGGTTTTTTAGATTTATTCTCCCTTCGTTACCTGTTTTCACAATTTGTTCTTTTCCATTTGTTTTGGTCTCTTGACTTTTGAGGCTGTCCTCAAACATCTGGTGCTCCTTGATGGTGTGTTCTTAGAATTGAGGGACTCAGAGCTCTGAGTACTCAGGTGGAGTTGTTTGAGCTCCACTTTGGGGTGATCTGCCTAAGATGTGATCTTTCCACTTGGGAAGGTCACATTCAGCAGAGAAGATTCTTCTGATCACCTGCCTAGAGGGTAAAGGTCTGATTACCAACATCTTAGGACCCTGTGGGGAACAAAAGCTAGGGAAATTAGTATGCACACTCACTGACTCCTGCAGTGTTGCCATACTTCAACTTTCAACTTCCCATTGTCCCTCAAGCTGCTGTCCTCCTGTTCTACTAGCTCCAGAGAATTAGTCTAGTCTTTCACCACATGGGAAAGAGGTAGCTACCAAGGAGCTATGAGGTGGGGATCTGACTATTAAACAGACTTTCCACCAACACTCTCTATTGTAGCTACTCAGCTCTACTGCCAAGGTACCTGATGCCCCTAGTTCTTGAGTCTTTTGAAGGTTTGTGGAATAAATTTGGTTGAGTCACAGCCTTTCCCACTTTTGTCTCCTTTAGTTCTCTTTCAGATTTTGTTGAGTTTATACCTTTTTAAAAATCCTTTTATCCTCATTTCGGTGGAGTTTTAAGAGGGAGTAAACTAGATATTTGCATTTACTCTACCATCATTTCCCAGAAGTTCCTCTGCTCTGTTTTCCAAGCCCAAAGAAATAGGAGAGAGAGGGACACCTGGGTGGCTCAGTCGGTTAAGAATCTGCCTTCAGCTCAGGTCATGATCTCAGGGTCCTGAGATCGAGTCCCGCATCGGGCTCCCGGCTGAGCAGGGAACTCTCCCTCTGCCGCTCCCCCTGCTTGTGTGCTCACTCTCTCTCTCTGACAAGTAAATAAATAAAATCTTTAAAAAAAAAAAAATCTCTTTTTAAAAAAAGAAAAGAAAAGAAATAGAGAGGGGAAATAAGGTAATTTTTAAGCATAAAGCAGAAGGGCTTTCTTAGACATCCTTTCCCTTCACCCTAATTGATGGTCAGTTTCTTGAACTACCTTAATTTAAACTTCTATATTTGCTGACACAGGCAAACTATTCCACTTGGTACCATTTTCTCCTGGCATATAATATACTAACATTTGAAAGCAAGCAATAGAACGGTTGAAATATTTACTAAGTACCTGCATTGGACTGTTGACTATGATAGATGCTGTAGCTGGATTTGTAGCAGGAAGCATACTTTACATTTCAGAATCTTATAAAAAGGAAAATAAATGGTGGGTGGGGTGAGGCCATACCACAACTGTGATATATTACATCTTACTGCATTACCTGTGGACCCTTTTTTTTTTTTTTTTAACTTTTTCAGGACTGTTATGAATATTTTTTTTTATCTTTTTAAAATTTTTTAAAAAATTTATTTGGCAGAGAGAGAGATCACAAGTAGGCAGAGAGGCAGGTGGGGGGAAGCAGGCTCCCCACTGAGCAGAGAACCCGATGTGGGGCTCCATCCCAGGACCCTGAGATCATGACCAGAGCTGAAGGCAAAGGCTTAACCCACTGAGCCACCCAGGCGCCCTGAATATTTTCTTTTTTTTTTTTTTTTTTTTTTTTTAAAGATTTTATTTATTTATTTGACAGAGAGATCACAAGCAGGCAGAGAGGCAGGCAGAGAGAGAGGAGGAAGCAGGCTCCCCTAGAGAGCAGAGAGCCCGATGCGGGGCTTGATCCCAGGACTCTGAGATCATGACCTGAGCCGAAGGCAGCGGCTTAACCCACTGAGCCACCCAGGCACCCCATATTTTCTTTTTTTAAAAAACAAGTGAAAAGCTAAGATAATATCGTATTTTTGAGCGTCAAGAAACAGTAAAGTCTATAGTTTAATTAATACTGAATATTGTATTTTATAATGTTATTCATAAATGTTTATCATATATATTATTTGTTCAAAATAAATCTTGTAGCAGGGGAAGCTTTGACTTCTTTTATCGATGAGTTAATATTTAGCAGAGTAAGGCTTATACAGGGGAAAGTCCTGAGTCAGTATAGAAGAAATAATACTGTCCCAAAAGTCAAGAAACTTTACCTTGGGAGGAGAGGCCCCACCAGGGGCAAGAGGGAAATAAAGGGGGGAAAAAGAAGAAAGAAACTTTAATTTTAATTCTGGCTGGTCAGCAGCCCTCTGTGTTGTTTATCAGGTCACTACATCTGTGAGTCTCTTATTCCACAGCTATAAAGTGAGAAGTTTTTGTTTGAGTCTCTTTCAGCCCTTAAATTCAAAGATATAAATTAGTTCTGTTTTTCAGGAGGCCTTGGTAATGTCTCATCTCACAAGAATGCTAACTTGGTTCTTATTTCCTTTTATTTCAGATAAGATTCCTTTGCTAAGCAAAGAAAAACTACCTGTGGTAGGAATTGGAAAGCATCTATGTGGTGTAGCAACAGGTATGTAAACATACTAATAATCTATATGAACACACTAAGTTTTAGCTTAACATGGTCCCAGTCATTGAAATAGTCTCTTGAGTTAGTTTATATCACATATGCTTACAACTCATTAATCTTCATAGTAGCACTGGCCCTATGTTAGATCAGATACAGAGTTTTCTTATTTATCTGCTTATTTTGGCCAGGATGAATCAAGAGTGTTACATGTAAATACTGAGATATTTAGATGTAAATAGACTTAAAAAGACTTAAAGCTTTTTGGGTTATATTTCAACCAAAAAAGAAACAAATCATTTATGGAAACTGTATGATTCTACTCCAGAAGCTACTGATATTTTCAAGAAGTTGCTTGGGAAGGACTCTGAAACCTCTAGTCTAGAAGATGATTATACGTACCAGGATTCTGGGGAAAACGAAAAAAGAAATATTAGATAAAAAATAGAAGATGTCTTATTTTAGCACATCCATCTGTTAGGTGTAGCATGGTAAGGTAGAAAGAGCACGGGCTTTGAAATTGGATAGTCTGGAAATCAACTGTGCTGTGTAACCTTTGCAAATTACTTAAACTTTCTGAGCTTTGGTTATCTCATCTGTAAAACAGAGATAACATATAATTTACCAGGTTATATGTAAATGTCTGGCACAGATTAGTGAATGTTAATTATTATTACATCTCCCTGGCTCCTGCTGGTTTCATCAACTTGGAAATTGGAGCCTCCATTAGACATTATTCAGGTTGGCTGGGAAATGGCTTGTGTTGTCCTTCATGGTTTTTAAGATGACTTTTGTGTACCTTATATCATTTGACCCTCATAAGAGCCTTCTGGCATAAACCAGTTCTGTCCTGGGAAAAGGGAAAAAAGCGCATTCATTTACTCTTACCCATCTGACCCAAGTTTGTCAAAAATATAATCTATATTGTCCATTTTCATTGTTCCACACACTGTCCCCTCTTAAGTCACTCTGTCTGAATTTTTCCTTCATCCCTCTTATTCTTATCTTACTGAAAAATCTCTGCTGTAGTTGCTTACCCTTTTTTAAAATTTTTATTTATTTATTTTTTTAATTTAAGTAATCTCCACACCCAGCGTGGGGCTTGAACTCATGCCCGCGAGGTCAAGAGTTGTATGCCCTTCAGCCTAAGCCAGCCAGGCATCCTGGTTGCTTGCCCTTCTTGAAATTTTCCTTCCTTCTCTATTGTGACATTCTTCTTTCCTGGTTCTTCTACTACATCTATGCCCTTCTTTCTCTCGTGGTCTCCTTCCACTACCTGTTCTTTAATTATAAATATTTAGACCTCTTGGCTACATACCTAATATGTCTTTTTTTTTTTAAAGATTTTTATTTATTTATTTGATAGACAGAGATCATTAGCAGGCAGAAAGGCAGGCAGAGAGAGAGGGGTTAAGCAGGCTCCCCAATGAGCAGAGAGCCTGATGCGGGGCTTGATCCCAGGACCCTGGGATCATGACCTGAGCCGAAGGCAGAGGCTTTAGCCCACTGAGCCACCCAGGCACCCCCATACCTAATATGTCTTAAACTCTTCAGTAGCTCCTAATACTTAGAGCATAAAGTCTAAGCTCTTTAAGAGGACGACCGGCTGTCAGTCTGGCCCCTGCCTTCCAGCCTTTGACGCTTCCTGCCTGCAGCTCTGCTGGTCAGCAAAAGGAAATCCTGTGTACTTTTCCCATGTACTGTACTGTGTCAAGTTCTGATTTCCTTCAAGTTCTGTTTATCATAATCCCATCCACATATCTTTACTTTATGATATTTTAGTTGTCTATTATATAATTCTAGCTCTCCCACTATGCTGTGAATTTTTGGCACACAGGGAGTGTTCCTAACACAACGGTTGGCATATAATAGAAACAGTAAGCATTTCCGTGAATGAATGAATAATCTTGACCACGAATTTGCTGTGTTTCCTAGTCCCTTTCTTTGGTATGTCATTTTGTCCTTTAAGTTCTTTGTAAAGGAGGGGTTAAAATAGATTGTTAAAAGCTCCTCCTGACTCTAAAATAACTTCATTCTTCTAATAATTTTTCTGTTTTATTCACATTTCTGAAATTCATTTACTTAAGTCCAATATAAATAAAGCTAACTTGAATATATTTTGTCAGTTAATAATAGTTTATGAAAATCCCTTTCTCCCAGTGTTTATTGACTTCAACTCATATATTGAATTAAATTTGCTAGTAAAATACTAAGTCATTTAATAGTCACTGGTGACATCTTAGGGTAATAAAATTTCAAAATATGTTTTTGATTGAATAGGCACAGCATGCTGGCCTAATCAGACAGAAAATATGTTTTCTGGGTTTTTTTGTTTGTTTTACAGTATATATTTGGGGTCTTCCCAGTATTATCAACCATAGAGCAGTCTTCACTGGGAAATAGTCATAGTCATCAAAAAATCTATTTGTTTAGCTTTTAAGTTTAAAACTCTTTTGAAAGTGAAATACATCTACCTGGACGTTTATATATATAGTCATCATTACATTCACAAAGCTTGCACGTGAAAGGCATTCTGTAGTTAATGAATGCACAAGTACATAAGGCTGCTCAGTGAGGCCTACTTTCCACAGAATGACTCCCTCTTACCAACTCTTCAGCTTCTCAGGATTTGCTGTGAATATTATATGTTTCAGGACTGACACCTAACATCAGTCTAAGCAGATGCTAAGCAGATGCCTTTTCCCTCCATTCTTCTTTGGGTTTCTTAAGCTCAAAACTTCCTGGAATATAAGTGTAGATAGATCAGTGATTTTTTTCCTATTCAAGTCGTTTCCTCAGCTAGAGTAGGAGAAATGAGAGCCAAGTTGATTAGTTGGACTAAAAGTTTTTACAGACTGTAGAACTTAAGCTTTAGCCATTTTTGGGGGGGACGTAGAATAAATCAGTGAAAATGAGATGCTAATGAGAAAACGGCAAATGTGAGCAAAATTGATAATTCATGGAAGAATTCTTACAAGTATAAAGCTAAACAGGTTTTTTGTTTTGGGGTTTTTAGAAACCATACTGCTGAATAAATGTAAAAAATACTTATTTTTAAAGATGCTGTGGTTTGGGGGGGCCACATAATTGTGTTTGCAGATCTTGCATTACGATGTTTGGTTGAAACCTATGCTGCCAGTTGTGAGGAAAGGAATGAAGAACCTTTAGCCAAACGCATAAAGAATGATAAAACAGGAAAAGAAATTAACACTGTGGCCAAGAAAGGAAATGAGAAAAATGTCCCAGAGAAGTGGAGCCCTGTGGCTGGCATTGTTATTGCACTCTGTTGTCACCACAGGTGTGATTGGAGACATTATGTGGGCAAAGAGTATTTCAGGGCTCTAGGCCTTGGAGCAGTGGAATTCCACTACTTCCAGCGAATGAGTAGTTGGGCGACTTGTGGGATGCGAAAAACATCTTTGGAAGCCTCCAGTCTCAGCACAAAGAGAAAAGATGAGCAGAACGATGACAGTGAAGAGCATGACGACGGGGGATGCCGAATCACAGATGAAAGCAGTGGGAGTGCGCCTGGGTAAGTGACTTCTTGGAAATGCATGACACCAGGGCAGAAATGTTTTGTTATTGCTGGACTTTCTTTTTAGATAAATGTCCCCAGGAATCTGTTCATGAAAATGCATTTTACCATCCAATTTTAGAATACATTAAAATACACTTTTATTGTGGCATAAATAAAACGTCTTTTGGAAGCATGGGATGTAGCACCTAGTATATTGCAGGTTACTTCAGAACTTATCAATACATAGTAGTGACTAAAATAACTTTTTGTAAACTTTTACAAATTTTAACAATGTTTTGTATTTATTCGGTTTAGGTTCCTTACTGTTGAAGAGAAGAAGAAAATAGGGCATCTTTGTAAATTGCTGATTGACCAAGGCCGAGTCGAGTATTTACAGCAGAAAGGATTCAGTCCTGCTTTACAGTATTATACAGATCCTCTGGTGTCTTTGGAAAATGTATTGTTAACTGCTTTACCAAATCATTCTTCATCACCAGAAACAACTGCTTAATGGAAAGAAATTGTGAACATCTGTCTTCCACCAAAAAAAAAATTTTTTTAGTTGTATTTTTATATTAATGAAATATACTTTACGTAGTAGAGATGTGAACTTTAAAAAATGTTGTGGCCTCACTGAACTTTGGTAATAGCTTTGTTTTTTACTTAGAAGTCCAAATGTTAGCAAATTCACCAAATTCTCAAAGTAATTCTCTTCAGCAGGGCATCTTGAGTTATATTATCCATCAGTATTTACAGAGATTGGTAAAGTAGTTGAACAGTTGACTTGGTTATCTGAAACACACATAACACATCAATACACAACTAGCACATTAGCTTTCTATTTGTATTAATTTTGGAAATTTATTGTCCTTTGGTTTTATTTAATACTTTTTACTTCTCAAGTTCAAGATGTATATGATCAATTGTCTGTACCAAGGGCCTGTCTGAGAACTTGACTTATATATGGGTTTTTTTGTCCATTCTAATCTGGAAAGTATAATCAATTGTGATTTTTTTATTCCTAATGCAAAGAAATTCAGAGATGTTCACAATCATTAATGAATTCACCTTCAGATTACCAGAGCCATATATGTATTTATGTGTTATCTGAATTTATCCATGACAAACAGCAAAACTGAAGAGAAGGTTTTCAAGGGAAATAAACTGTTTCACTTCATTTTTTTAATTGAATAATTATCTAGTTAGAACTTCCAAAAAGATAACTTATAAACCTCATTCACAAATTAAGTTGAAACTTGAAATAACTTCTGAAGTTAATTATCACATCTTTTAAAAGGACATTTTTATACATATAAGCACAATTATAAGTATATTCTCTCCTTTTGAGAAAATAATTTGGAATAAAATGGAAATTAGATAATGAAACCAAAAACCACCTCACACTTAGGCCTTATTTAATGTATAAGCAGTTTCTATGCACAAGCAAATATTAAGCCAAACATATAGTTAGGACTGTTACTGTCTTCATGTTATACTTCATGTATTTCTGTCTTTATTTGTAAAAATTGTCTTAATCATTGGTACCTTTGCCAAGACAAAGATCCGAATTAATAATTTTAGATACTATAATGATATTCTTAGGTAACTTTTTTATCCTATATATAGACTTATGATCACATGAATTGTAAAATAGAAGCCTAACGCATTTTGAATTCCTGGCTTTTCCACTTTAATCTCCTATGTTTTATAAGACTACCTAGGTTCAGATCCTTCCCTACCATCTCAGTGTATGACCTTGCACAACTACTTAATCTCCTTGTGCCTCAATTTCCCTTTTTAAACTGAGGATGATGAAGATAATAATAATACTACCTACCTCACAAGGTTGTTGTAACAAATGAGATGACACGTGTAAAATACTGAAAACAGCTCCAAGCACAGTGTAAGTACTTAATAAATACATTAGTAATACTAATTCACAAATCTATTTTTAATAACAATAGGCAAACTTGGTTTAATTATCTCTGCTTAAGTTATAACTTTGTTCTCTTTTTATAAGTTCTGTGCCAAATATTATTAAAGTAAGATAGTTTGGATTATTTCTCAAGTTCATTATTCATGCTGCCCAATCAAGAGAACATAAATAAAGGTAGTATACATCATTTGATAATTTGCGTGATTTTATTGGGTCAGGCAATGCTAATTTGTGTCATACCATCTGTTTTGCATCATTTAACAATTTATGCCAAGGAATAAAAAATATTCTACAACAGGCATAATCTCAATTATGTTTCACAAAACATACACATACACTCAATAGTTATAATAGTCCTGTGCCCATTTAGCTTCATGATGTTTCTGACAATGGTACCAAGTACTTTATGGACAGATGAGCTTGTCCTTCAACAAGCTATAGGTCAAGATTCTTGTTTTCCCCAAACTTATTTCCCTTAAGATACCATAAGAAAGTAACTATGTGGGATATGTATATTGCTATTCCTTGACCTGCCAAATTTACAGGGACAGTAAACCCGTTCTTGAACTTTCAAATTCATCCAAACAACTACTTCTTCCCACATGTCCCACAACTATGTCAGATTTCCTCATCTTCCACTTCTGCCACCTCATCTCAGCATCACCATCCATCCAGTTGCTCTAACCAAAAACAGATTAATCTTGGGGTCTTCTCATTTCCCATCATTCATTCACCAATTCTATCTACTACCTGGTTTTTTATGTATTTATACCCCAAACAAGGCCCCAAACTGTAACTTTACTTGTCCCCCAATCTATTTTTCCCTGCTGTTGTTTCTGTAACCTGCTACCACAGATCAGATGACCATTTCCTATTATCTGCCACTGGATGTTAATAAAAAATGATTTATTCTAGCTAAAACACTGTCATTTGCTTGGATTATACTCCTTCCCCAAAGCAACTATGTGAAGATAAATTATATTTGAACTTTGATTCAAAAACTCTTTATGTTTTAGTGCATTATAAAACTATGATTTCTATTACTGTACTATTGTTTCATTAGTTTTATTAATAGAATTATCTCTTTGGCCTCTTCTAATCTTGGTTTAAGTTAAAGGCTTTCCTTCAGTGAAAAAGTGGTTTAATTCTTAATTATCAGAGACTGAATGATTGAAATCTATATATCAAAACCTCACATTTTAACTATTGGCTAAAAATCTATGTTCTCTTAATATTTCTCATTCCTAGGCAAAATAATTGTATTGCTATTTGTGGACTATAGAAAAAGAGGAAATGACAGGGAAGATAATGAAATATATGACAAACTGCTAGAATGAGGTAGTGAAGCTTTAAGAATCACATCTTCAGGGACACCTGGATGGCTCAGTTGGTTAAGCATCTGCCTTTGGCTCAGGTCATGGTCTCAGGTTCTTGGGATGGAGCCCTGCTGGCTGCCTGCTCAGCGGGGAGTCTGCTTCTCCCTCCCCCTCTCTCCCAAACCCCCTGCGTGTGCTCTCTCTCAAATGAATAAATAAAGTCTTAATAAAAAATAAAAGAGTAACATCTTCATTCACTTGGTTGTGCTTCAAGTATTTGGCTAAAGAAAAATTTATTTCTTGTCACCACTAGAAGAACTTTCAATACCTTTACAACTTCTCTCCAAGCCTTTCTCAAAACTGAACAGATTGGAATTTTTTTTTCCTCCCACAATGTTGACCAAGAGACAAAATTTGACAGAAAAGATAAAATGGAATGAGAAATCCATAAAGGAATTTATATATATATATACATTCCTCTATCAAATATTTGATGTGTATTATATAAAAAAGCCATACCTGCTCTTCTCCGGGACTCTTGTATATATGCATGCATAAACTGAAGGCCAAATAATTCCTGTTCTTCTTCTTCTTCTGTGCTTTCACTGGGAGGAAGTGTTACTTCCACTTTCAATGGGTTGTCTCTGAAGTTGACAAACCTAGTAGTTCACCAAAAAACAGTATTTTTATAGATGCCATAGAAGTGTACATTTATTTCCCTGGAGAAAGATCAAATGGTAATATACTAAATTACTTTTTTTTAAACTGATTTCAGTAACCGAACATTTTGGTAAAAATGTAATAAATCTTAAGAATCTTCTAAGAGTGTCGGAGTGCCTGGATGGCTCAGTGGGTTAAAGTCTCTGCCTTCGGCGCAGGTCATGGTCCCAGCGTCCTGGGATCGAGCCCCGCGTCAGGCTCTTTGCTTAGCCGGGAGCCTGCTTCCCTTCCTCTCTCTCTGCCTTCCTCTCTGCCTACTTGTGATCTCTGTCTGTCAAATAAATAAAATCTTTTAAAAAAAAAAATCTAAGTTTCTTTTCGAGAAGGGGAAAAAAAACACTAGCTTTAGACAACTCATTGTTAAAGCTTATTGAAGTGACTTTTGGTCCCTTGCATGTATTTAATATGAAGTTTAGCTTCCCAGAGCAATTCCAGTGCATTTCGAATATACAATTAATGCTATGACCTTGAAGTTTCTGCATATTATATAGACTTGTGTCTTATATATCACTGTATCTTCATCAGGTACAGGACTCAGCAGCTCCTGAATAGGTGAATGAATGAATGGATGAATGATTTTGTTATGGGAATTGTGGGATTTGATGTGAATTCTCACATCTTGTGTTCTCTGTCAGGAAACAAAATTTTGGAAGGGAGACATTTGAGGGAGTTCTGAGAGTAAATAACTTAGTAATAACGTTTTATTTATTCTATCTGTAACATAATTGCCTGTGTCCACTGTAGTCATTTAGAAGGAAAATAAGCACTATTTTTATGCTTTTGATTTTTATTTATAGATGAGGTTTGTTACCAGTTGCAAAGATGATTTTCATAAAAATGTCACCAGCCAAGCGCATTCCTAAAAGCTCACAATCCTAGTATGACTTTTGTTTCAAGGATTCTTCCTTGAATAATTTTGGCCAGTATTACATGAACCCTACTTATAAATTATAGGATTTCAAAGTTGGAAAATTTTTTAAATGTATTCATTCATATGAATGAGAATTCAAATCTACTAATAACAATTTCTCTGTATTACTTTGTTCTGCCGCCAGAAAGGAACAGGTCAGTTCTATGCCTACAACTTTTACCTCAGATTGGTCATCTCTTCCATGCACACTGGAATATCTTGCAGTTTATTGTTGCTGAGAACAAGAGTACCCAGATTTTTCATATTGCTGATTGTTTCTGGCAAGCATGTTATTTCATTCCGTTGTAGCCATAATGTATGTAGACTCTGCATTCTAATTAAAAGAGGTTTTGCGATTAATCATACATGATATGAAAACCCTGGTTCTTACTACCTAAAAAGAAACAAATGTCATTTTTTATAACATCTCTTTTAACCGGTGTACCAGTTGACTTAACTGACTTCACATTACCTGATTATTAGGGAAACTGCATTGGAGGGTTAATCCCTACAGTACACTTCTCAGCATGTAGTGGTAGAAAGGAAACCAACACATTTTATAATTCTTCACTATTCTCATGGGATTTCTGAAAGAATGACTATAAATATTAAACAGTCTGAACTAGAGGGTTAGGAGAAAATTCAGAAATTATTAATCTGCCTAGCTGGGCAAGGCAAGTACGCATTATGGCAAACAGCCTGGACTCTGGGCCGGGCTGCCTAGGTTCACACTATAGTGCGATCTTGAGCAATTTAGCTAACATCTCTACATTAGTTTCCTCTTCCATTTGTAAGTCCCAGAGGGCCTGGCATGCACTAAGTAATGTTACTGCACGTATTCATGTCAACACGTTGAAGTCAGACAGCCAGTTTTTCTCTCCAAAGCCCTTATATTTAAGTAAATGAAAATATTGTTTAAAAGTAGCATATTTAGTACTACATGGATCTCTTGTGATTGATTACACTTGGGTTCCCCTTTGTTTCATCTGTTATTTATTATGGATGGCTTCAACACATCTGCTAATAGCACAGAAAATCATATACTTTACCTTTCTATAGTATCAGGAAGTTGTGCAAGTCTGTTGCTTCCCAGGTCAAGCCATTCGAGAGCAGGCATGTTCAACACTGCCAGAGGGATTATAGTGAAGTTGTTCATACTCAAATCAAGGTGCGTAAGCTTTAACAAATTGCTGAGCTGAAGAGGCAAGCAAGGGTTTTCAAAATGAATGTCCGCAATGTAAACTACTAGAACACTCACATTGGTAGAGCTGTTTCACATCAACGAATGTTCACATTACGCTTGGGCTTTTCTTAGTCCTAGTCATCCACAATAACTTTGAAATAAAAATAAATCTAAATAACCTCCACAGAATTGAAAAACTCTTATAGAAAGCTCATCTATTCAAAGAAAATTTATCTTCCAAATACCCAAGATCCAGCCTTTACAGAACCTGCTTGTGTTTGCATTTTCCTTTCATCCTACATTTGAGATTTGTATGGGAAAACCCAAACTTCAAAATAATACTTATCTTTATTGAACCCTCTTTTTTGTACCTGATGCTTTAAGTATGCTATCTCAAACATAGCACTTACTGTTGGGTAATTTTATTTTTTCAATGAAAACATCAATGGAAATTTATTAAGCATAACATCCCAAACACCAGTGTGCTCAGCTTAAGAAAGAAGATATGTTGAGGGGTGCCTGGATGGCTCCAATCGGCTAAGCAACTGACTTGTTTTCAGCTCAGGTCATGATCTCATCAGTCTTGAGATGCCCACTGCACCTCCCCAACCTCCAACCCCCACTTCCCCACCCTCCCCACCCTGGGCTCCACACTCAGTGGGGAGTCTGCTTGGGATTCTCTCCCTCTGCACCCTCCTCCACTCTCTCTCTCTCTCTCAAATCCATAAAAAAGAAGAAAGAAAATATATTGATATGACTGACTGCCTTCTATGTGTTCCTCCCTTCTTCCTTTCCAGAGGGAACCCCTCTCCTGAATTTGGTATTTATTATTCCTATGCATGTTTTCTTGTTTTCATTACATATGTAAATATATGGGGGTTGTTTTTTGTTTTTTAAGATTTTATTTATTTATTTGACAGAGAGATCACAAGTAGGCAGTGAGGCAGGCAGAGAGAGGGGGGAAGCAGGCTCCCCACTGAGCCTGATGTGGGGCTCAATCCCAGGACCCCAAGATCATGACCTGAGCCAAAGGCAGAGGCTTAACCCACTGAGCCACCCAGGTGCCCCGTTTATATATGTTTTTATATATTTTTCTGTAATTACTATTATATGTTTTCACAAACAGAAGTTAGTATTTTTATTTGAAGATTATGAAACTCTACATCCCTGAAATTGCTTTTTTCTCTTAATATCAGTGTCTCAGTGTATTCATGTTGATTCTTACAACTCTAGTTTATTCATCAACTTTCTAAGATAAATATCTTATTTCTGTTTTATGGACAAAGTGGTTGAGAGAGGCCATGTAACTAGAAATGATGTGTGATGTGCACTCAAGTTTTCATGGACCTAAAGCCACAAAATTTCTAAACTTTCTGTATAACACTGTAGTATAAGTTTCAAAATGTGAGAACTCAGTTAACTTTTCCAAAAGAATTTCCATTTATCTAGGCAAGTTCTGTTTTATTTTTATCTCAGGGAATGTTAAGATTTGTTCCATATCTTTAACATCACACATACAAAAAAGCACAAATACAGTGTTTTGTGGGCAATGCAAAAAATAGGAGGTTTCCATTTAGTAGGTAACATTTGTCCAGCCTTAGAATTCAAGTCACAAATAAAACATTTTTTCAAAATCTTTCATCAGACTTTAAAAATTTTCAATGGTTTAGAATGGAGTATAAAAAGGTTGTTCTCACATTGGCGTAAATATGTTTGTGTGTATACAGTATGTGCAATGTAGTGGCTGAGAGATAAGTCTCCTCCTGTTACTGATTTCTCAGTCCTACTAGAACGCTTTGATTTTATATGAAAAGATATTAACATGATAATAAGTCTTTATTTTGCATATGTGAAAATGGAGACCTTATAGAAAGTGGTGAGTTCAAGGCTACCCAGCTAACTTAGAGGCATACTTGGAAGTAATCTCAGGCTTAAGATCTCAGTTTAGTATTTGTTCCAATAAAATGTATTTTTTAAATATTTTATTTATTTATTTGACAGAGAGAAACATAGTGAGAAAGTGAACACAAGCAGGGGGAGTGGGATGGGAGAGGGAGAAGCAGGGTTCCTGCTGAGGAGGGAGCCCGATAAGATACGGGGCTCCATCCCAGGACCCTGGGATCATGACCCAAGCCGAAGGCACTTAACTGAATCACCCACTCAGGTGCCCCCAATAAAACCTATTTCTTATGTGAAAAAATTAAGGCAAACACAGGTTAATAGACTTGCCCAAATTCATACAGCATTTTTAGTGATGGAGCCAATACTAGAAAGAAAATCACAGGAATTAGAAGTTCAAAATAAGACAAACCATAAGAGACTCTTAAGCTCAGGAAATAAACTGAGGGTTGCTGGGGGGTGGGATAGAGTGGCTGGGTTATGGACACTGGGGAGGGGATGTGCCCTGGTGAGTGCTGTGAATTGGGTTAAGACTGATGATTCACAGACCTGTAGCCCTGAAGCAAATAATACATTATATGTTACTTTTTTAAAAAAAAGTTCAAAATAAAATATTTATTTGCCCTCTTATAAAGAAATTGTCTCCATGATCATCATTTTCATCATAAATAAGTGCATATGTTTCATTAAGTTGAACTATTAAAAGAGGAGACAGATATAAATGTAGAAACTATGCTTTATCTGCAAGAGCAACAATAATTGGTGATATATTTACTGGTGTGGGAGAGAAAAGTGATATTCTCACAAAAAATAGTGGAGAATGGGAGAAGGGAATAGGCTTTCTACTTTGTTTTGCGTCTTACTATGTTTCTTACGTTTCGTCTTGCAAAGTCAATACCTTGGAAATTTGCTGATTGTAAGATCATTAAATATGTTTGAAATATGTTTGAAAGTGTCTACATCTCTATGATCAGCTTGGTTTTACTAATAACAAGTCATCATAACAAATCAAAGTTTGAAGGCTCTGCAAACCCATTGCTTTGCTTTTACTTGGCAGAAATTAAGAAACTAGCAAAGGAACACTTTTCTGATACTGAAGAACTCATTTCTTACCACTTCACCTCTATCTCAGACACTGATCACTCTATAAACACCAAGTAGTAAACAAAAGAGATTCTCCATCACCACATTGTCTGTGCTTTGTGGTAATCATTTATCCAACAAGCACTTATTAAGTAACAACTGCAACTTAGGCTGTGCCTTCAATTCTGGAAATAGAAATAAGGAAGACTCTTGCTCTGGCCTTTAAGGAGATCACAAATGATGTCTGTACTGTGACAATAATAGAAGTATCTTTTATGCTAAGTAGGTATTTCTCTAAATAAAAATATGTGTTATAGTAATAGGAAAGGATTATCACTAAATATTTTCTGAAATAAAGTTTATAGCATTGCTTCGTTAGTGTATTTTTGGCGATCACACAGTTAAGAAGTAAACCAGTTGTAGGTGGAGAATAAAGTAATAGACACTGATGTCTTTCTGACCTCTTGTGGAAGATCACAGATGTCTCTGTTTACAGCAAGTTCTAGTTTCTCCAAGCTGGCACAATGACTTAGTTCCCTGGGGACAGTCTTGATTTTGTTGTAACTAAGAATCAGCTCTTGAAGTTTAGTGAGCAGTCCTACAAGAAAATAATACACAATAGAGAGCAGATGGATATAAAATAATGTTTCCAGTTATGACAGCATAACTTACTTGCCAGTTTCATATTGGCAAATCATACTTCTCAGGTTCTTCCCTTTTCCCAGTTCCTATCCTGCCCCTTCTAAAAATAAGGGGGTTTATCTGTGCTATAAGCAAAAAAATGTGTGGGTTTTTTTTTTTTTTTTTTTCAATCTTGTTTCATCTCCTTTATTGTGGCCAATTTTCCATTTGGGGATTTTTTCTCATCTAAGGAATCTATCTTTCTTACCTTCAACCTGTTTTCTTCTAGGAGGATTAACTGAACAAAAGACATTGTTTCCAGAATACATACAATGTTTCCAAAGAGACTTTTCTTGCCTTGAAATCTTATCTTAAATCGCTTCTGTAAATCCCAGAAACTTGGATCTTCTGAAAGCTTCAATTTAGATGTCTACAATTTTCTCAAGACTCGGGGCTATGTAAAAATGATGTCATTATTCCATGTATCAAAAAAATCCTCAGAAAAAATGAGGGAATAAAGTCAATCTTCCTTACCAATTCCTCGAGGTATCTCTGAAATTGTGTTTCGAGATAAATCTAATACAATGAGGTTCTGGAATCTTCCAATGAATTCAGGAATTTTCAATAAACCAGTTCTATGAAGTTGCCATTCCTGTAGCTGACGCAGTTTTAGTAGAGAAGAAGGGAGGGTCTAAACTCAAGTAAAAGAAATGACAGAATTACCATATTACTTAAATTATTTTAGTATCATGTCACACTGAAATATAATTGTAGAGATATTACTTGATTTGTGTTTTTTGGATTATTTTTTCCTTAATGGGTTATATTTCCAAGTGCTTTGTGTTACTTCCAAGTTTTAAGACATCTTCTTTGTGGGTAGGAGTAGTAAACCTTCAAACCCCTACCACAATAAACAAAGATAATGTATTTTGGTCAATAGTGCACACCCATATATCAATTCCTAAAGATATTGTTGTATTAGACTTTTTTAGAGTACATATGTAGTTGGAAATGAGAATGTGGTGGTTAGAGAAACAAAAATCATTTTAATCAATAATTCAAATTTCTCTTTGCCTTATGTTTTGAAATATTTTCTAAGTTTTTTACATATTTTTTATTTAAAGGTTTTAAGAGTTTCAACCTTTCTGAACTCTACGCCTTTTTCTGTTTACCTAAAATAGCCCAGAGAAAATAAACCACTAGCTAACTATACCTACATGTATGAAAACAAACACTGACCCAAAGTATAAATACCCTTATAAAAATCAGAGCATGACTAATGTAATCAAGCAACTGCATGTGTGTATTTATGAGAAAGAATATGAATCAGGTAGTAGACCTTGAATAAGATGAATATCCTATTCCATTTTGTGGACTTTAAGCTCAATATTTGTTTTGGAAAAGCTATATGATTTTTGTTAGGCAGATGGTCATCTTTTTTATGGAAAATGAGAAGTTGCTTACTAGTAGGATTAATAGGAGAAAAATTGCAAATGACTTAAGTTTAGGCAGAGTTGAAGCAAACTGATTGAGTTTTTACCAAAAAAAATGTGAAGTTATATTTCTTTTCAGTTGTTCATGTTGCCCAAATTCATTTGGTATATTATTAAAATTAGAATTTCTAACGATTCTGGACTTAATCATACACTCTCAGAATCATTTTCTTAACTATCCCACAAAATGCAAAATACAGAAGAATATTACTTCTATGAAGCTTACCTTCCATTCTTCTTTTTCTATTTTCAAAATGATTCTTCCATCTTCCCTGATGACCTTTTCTTTTAGCTTGGTTAAGCTTACTCGTTCTTCCCAGATCCTCACTAGCCTAAGAGAGAAAACATTTTAGTTCACCAATAATGACATACACAGGTAGCATTCACTTTTACATAAAAAGTGATCCGTCAAAAACAATCATTTGATCGATAGTATCTGGAAATTAGAAAAGAAGTTGTTTTGTAAGAATTATAAATATGATTAGTATCATAAGTGTCCTATATTTAAGTTTTGAAAGTGTCATAACTCTCCAGAGATTTTTTTAAGTAATAGCTTTATTGAGATATATATAATTCACATATCATATAAATCCTTTTAAAGTATACAACTCAATGGTTTTGGATATATTCATAGAGTTACTCAACTATCATCACTATCTGGTCCAAGACAATTTCATCATTCAAAAAAACTCCAGGCACAATGCAAACTGGTGCAGCCATTCTAGAAAACAGTATGGAGTTTCCTCAAAAAGTTAAAAATAGAACCACCCTACAATCTAGCAATTGCTCTACTATGTATTTACCCAAGAAATACAAAAATACCAATATGAAGGGCAACATTACCTACAACAGCCAAATTTTGGAAATAGCCCAAGTGTCCATCAACTGATGAATGGATAAAGATGTGGTGTATACACAAACATATATACATATGTTTGTATATATATATATATATATATATACACACACACACACATAGATGCATAGATATGTGTATATATACTCATATATATATGGGATATTACTCAGCCATAAAAAAGAATGAAATCATGCCATTTGCAACAATGTGGATATTATGCTAAGTGAAATGTCAGTCAGAGAAAGACAAATATCATATGATTTTACTCATATGTGGAATTTAAGAAACAAAACAGATATGCAAAGGGGGGAGAAAAGAGAGCGAGGGGGACAAACCAAGAAACAGACTCTTAACTATAGAGAACAAGATGGTTACCAGAGGAGAGGTGGGTGGGGGATGGGTTAAATAGGTGATGGGGATTAAGGAGTGCGCTTGTGATGAGGTTCGCGTGTTGTAGGGAATTTTTGTATCACTATATTGTACACCAGAAACTAATACAACACTGTATGTTAACAAACTGGAATAAAATAAAAACGTTTAAAAATACAATAAAATAAACCCACACCCATTCCTCCTTTTCCCAGTTCCTTTGCAACCCCTGATCTACTTTCTATTTCTATGAATTTGCCTATTCTGGACATTTCATGCAAATGAATTATACAATATGTGGCCTTTCCACACAGTATAAGTTTATTCAGAGTTCACTCATGCTGTAACACGTTTCAGTGCTATAGTCCTTTTTATAGAAGAAGAATCTTCCACTGCATGAATATACCACATTTGTTGGTGTATATTATGAAGAACATATCTGTTCATCAGCTAATGGACATTTGGGTTAATTTCACTTATTGGCTCTTATGAATGATGCCACTATGAACATTTGTAAACAAGTTTTTATGTAGACATATGTTTTCCTTTATCTTGGGTATAGTCCTAGGAGTAGAATTGCTGCATCCTATTGTAATTCTACTTTTAACTTTTTTTAGGAATTGCTAAATTATGTCCAAATGGCTTGTACCATTTTGCCTTCCCTCCAGCAGCACATGAGGCTTCCGATTTCTTCATATCCTTGCCTACTTCTGTTAGTGTCCATGGTTTAGATCACAGCCATCCTAGAGCCATCAACTAGAGGTAGCTCTTTGTCTTTTTGACTGGCATTTATTAGACACCTAATCCATAGATAGTTAATAACTTTATTTTTTTTAAGATTTTATTCATTTATTTGACAGGCAGAGATCACAAGTAGGTGGAGAGGCAGGCAGAGAGAGAGGAGGAAGCAGGCTCCCCACCGAACAGAGAGCCCAATGCGGGGCTCGATCCCAGGACCCTGAGACCACAACCCGAGCTGAAGGCAGAGGCCTTAAACTACTGAGCCACTCAGGCACCCCAATAGTTAATAACTTTATAACGACTTTGAAATAATACAGTTCAACTTCAGAGTTAAGTTATATACAATTACATTCCAATTTTATTCAGATTTCATTTTTCAGATATGAATATGCATAAAACCTTTTTCATTCTAAAAACACATTCCTATTGATTTTTGGTTCATTGCAAACATACATAAGAATAATATCAAGCTATGAAAATAACTGGTAAAAGGTTGCAAAATTTTTATTTCTATACTAGAAAATTTTTAGTATAGGAAAAATGAGAAAGAAGACATTTAGAATTGAAATCTTTGTAATTTTGGTGTCTTAGAATGATACATAATAAAGAAATATAAGCAGTTATCAAAGAACATAGGTTTAATTAATTTGAATAGTCAATTGCCAAAAAGATCTTTGTATTTCAGAACAGGATTTAATGACAAGTGCAATCAGATGTCTTATTCCCTAAACTTTTACTTAAAGAATTCATCAAGCAGCCATTATATGTCAAATGCTATGCTGCACATTGTGCATGCAAAAAGCTCTGTCCTTAATGAGTTTACAGTGAGGCTAACTATTATTCAGCCGGTCTCTTTCCATCTCTATAATGATTCCTAAATTCTTTCTGGATCTGAATTTCTATGATCTAAGTCTAGAATGTATCACTTAACTTGGTGACTGTGGGCAACTCTTACCACCTATGTGGGCCTTGCCCTATTAAAATGGGGTTTGGATTAAATAATGTCTAATATTTCCTTCACCTTTAGTATTCTGTAATTTATCCACTACTTAGTCAAAGCAGGACATTCTTTCAATTTTAAATAGAAAATTTCTACCTCCTGTGAACCCTTTTTATTATATTCTAAATGCTTTCTCAGATTTGCCACACCAACTCTAACCCAAGTGCTTAATTTCTTCAAGACAGCTTGGCATCAAAAGACAATGAGGTCAATTTCTGTTTAAACTTTAGCCTTTTTGAAATAAATCTTTAGCCACCTTTAGCTGAGAGAAGACACATTAGTTTATGTCATTAACCTTGTTATCCCTTGCCTATTTTGCACAGAGAGAATTTGAAGTTGCTGAAATCATTTTCTTTTTAAAGATTTTACTTATTTACTTATTTATTTATTTATTTATTTATTTGAGAAAGAGTGTGCATGAGGGGCAGGGGAGGTCAGAGGGAGAGGGAGAGGTGGGGGGGGAGAGAGAGAGAGAGAGAGAGAGAGAATCTCAAGCAGAGTTGATGAGGAACTGGATCCCCTAACTCTGAGATCATGACCTGAGCCAAAAATGAAGAGTTGGATGCCCAACCAACTGAGCCACCCAGGTGCCCCAATTAAATGGTTCTTAACTAAATATGTGTAATAGGTGAAGTTAGGGAGTTTAGAAGCAAGTAAGGATTCCTGATCTGCCCACTGTTTTAAAAAGAGATAGGATTTATTAAGAGTAGTCTAGAGTCCAGTTTATTACATCTGTAACATACAAACATAATAGGTTTCATAAGGGTTGCTTTATATATAAAGGCCTAATCTAGGGAAAGCCCTGAGGTAAATATCATGCCTCCTGAATCAGACTAGTTAGGTATGAATACCAGTTCTGCATTTATTAGCAGTGTGATCTTTGACATGTTACTTAGGCCCATCCCTCAGGTTTTCCATCTTTAAAAGGGACAAAATGAACACTCATGTGTGGCAGAGATGGTTACTCCTCTTCTTCCTCAAGAATTGAGTCTCTACATTTAACTGGGCACAAGACTTCATTTAGCCATCCTTGTAGTTAGATATGGATCCTATCAATGGGATGTTAGCAGAAGCTGTAGTGTGTGCAAATTCCTGCAAGCTGGGATCACATATGGTGGCTGCAGTTGGTGTATCATTTGAGGCCATTAAGTGACTTTAGGAAAGGAAGCCACGCACAGTCGAGCAACAAGATAAAAGTCTGAGTATCTGACTCAGCCTCAGATCAAATACCCAAAAAAAGTTAACATCTCTTGTTTAGAAAGTATTATTTTGGGGGGACTGGGACAGCTCAGTCAGTAAAACATCTGACTCTTAATTGCGGCTCAGGTCATGATCTTACAGTCCTGAGATCAAGCCCCTCAGCGGGCTCCCCACTCAGTGGAGAGTTTGCTTGGGATTCTCTTTTTCCATTTTCCTCTGTCCCTCACCCCCCTCCCCACTCTCTCTCTCAAATAAATAAATCTTTTTTAAAAATTAAAAAAAGAAAACGTTACTTTGATTTTCCTTCTCTCATAATGCAATCCATCCTCATTAAGACACTCTGTTTCTGTGTGTTCAGAAGATTAAATGAGATGCTACAAACAAACCACTTAGCAGAGTGCCTAGAAAACAGTAAGCGCATAATAAAAAGCTGCTACCCTCATCATTGTCAGCAGCATTATCTTTTTTATTGGCTTTGGTTGAAAAGAATGGACTCTCCCCATCCAGATTTTTGCTTGTACAGATAATAGACACAAAATAATTGCTGATCAAGAACCTTTCCCCCTCTTCTTTACTGGGGGAATAGCTGTTATTTCCAAGTATTACACCCCCCCCCCACTCAGTAACCAGCTATAAATCTTATTTTGTTTAAACCAAGCATATAGGCTCATTCCCCTAGAAGGGGACTGGATTATGAGAGTACAAATGATCCAGTTCTGGTCAATGAGAGGTGAAGGAGAGCCTTGCTAAAGAGCCTCAGAAAGGCTTCCTCATTCTTTTTTTTTTTTTTTTTTTTTTTAAAGATTTTATTTATTTATTTGACAGAGAGAGATCACAAGTAGACGGAGAGGCAGGCAGAGAGAGAGAGAGTGAGAGAGAGAGAGAGAGAAGCAGGCTCCCTGCTGAGCAGAGAGCCCGACGCAGGACTCGATCCCAGGACCCTGAGATCATGACCTGAGCCGAAGGCAGCGGCTTAACCCACTGAGCCACCCAGGCGCCCAGGCTTCCTCATTCTTGAAGGAACAGAAATAGTTTCCACTCTTCTGATAACATAATGATGCCTGGCTGTGATGCCTGGAAGTGGACCAGTCATCCTGTGACACAGACAGAGGAGAACCTGAGGCCCAGACTGACACACGGAGATTAGCAGTAGAAGGTGATAAAAATAAACCCAGTCTTTAAAGCTGTTCAAGCTTTGGGATTGCCTTACCTCAGGACTTCCCTATTCCTTAAGCCATTTCTAGTTGAATTTTATGGTACTTGCTAACTGATGCAGGAGCATTTTTTTCCCACTTAGATATAATTGACATATAACTATTAATGGGCCAATATTCATATATGTTGAAGGACAAAAAATGATTAGATTCTTAGAAAGAGTTCTGGTGGGTGAGAATTGTAGGGATCCATGAGGAAAGTGGCTCTTCTTGCAAAATTAATAGAGTGTTTTGGAGACATCCAATCAGGAAAATAGGTAGATATCAAGAACGCAGAGGAAATAAGAGCCAAACTATTTAAGTACAGCTTAAATCAAGGAATCCGGTGATCCACAGGGACCCTGGCTGAAACTCATGGCTATTCAAATAGGTGAGAATCTCTTGTACCTTCTCTTGTCAGATGTTGCCTAGGGGATATAATATTGAACAAACAATCACCGAAAACTGGACTCAATGATACTAATCAAACTTCGAGGAACATGGAACAGACTCTTCTGAGGACCTAAAAATAACTACTATTTTCACATATGGACACTTGTACTTTTTGTGGCCACCATCACATAGCCACACTTAATTGAATCGGGTGTACCCTTTAGTTATATTTTGAGTTTTCAGTAAGTAGAAATACCAAATTCAACAATTAAGGCATTTAATAAGCACCCTTTTCTACAATGATGATGTTCTGAATTTTCACCAAATATAAATAACAAACACGTTAAAGCATACTTCTGTTGAAATTCCTTCTCTCGCTTCAGGTCTTCATTGTGTTTCTTTATTCTTTCTTCCCAAACTTCCTTCACAGCATTGACAGCCCCAGTACAAACTGCATTTTCTGACATGATTTCTCCACATTGTCACAGAGTCACCAACTTCATTAGGTTCTGAATAGCTGAGTCACAGATGCCATCTCAAAAAGGACCTAATTGTAGAGGAGAAAAAAACGTGTTTCAGAATGTTCACTAGGTCCAGAAATGATCATAATAGCTTATATTTATTGTACCCTTTCCATGTTCCCAAGACTATTTTATACACTTACATATCATCTCTCACTTAATAATCCTCATAAAAATACTATGCCATGGACACTTTTTCTCTTTCAAGATTTTATTTATTTATTTGAGGGAGAGAGAGTAGAGCGAGAGAGAGAACATGTGGGGGAGGACACGGGGGGTGGGTGGAGAGGGAGAGGGAAAAGCAGGTTCCCCACTGAGCAGGGAGCCTGATGCAGGGCTCCATCCCAGGACCCCGGGATCATGACCTGAGCCAAAGGCAGATGCTTAACCTACTGAGCCACCCAGGCACACCACAATATAAATTTCGATCAGTAAATTATAGCACATCCATATCATGGGAAATTATATGCTCCATAAAGTAAAACATTTCATATACTAATATGCCATGATCTCCAAAATGTATGACTATGCCATAATTTAATTTTTCTGTCCCAATGAATGTGGGTATTTGGGTACCAGGGTTTTGCTATTATGAGCAATATTGTTTCCAAAATTCTTGTCCTTATTTTCATGGTGCTTAAGTGGTATTGTTTCTATTGGGTCTATACCTAGAAAGAACTGCTGGATCATACTATATGTGAATGTTCAAATTTATAAAATAGAGCCAAATTGTTTTCCAAAGTGATTGTGCCCATTTATACTCTTACTACAACTGTATAAGGGTCCCTGTTGATGCACATCCTTACTAACAAACTACTGCATAAAATCTCATTATGGTCACAAATTTATATTTTCCTGATTACTAAGTATTGCAAGTTAATACACAAATACTGTCCAATTAAATAAAAGACAAAATCCTGTGCATTGTTTATAAGAGGCATGTCTAGTATAAAAATGGGAAAAAATAAGAAAGTATAAAATAGAAAAAGACCCATGCCTAGATTTATACACAAGGGAAATAAAAACATATGTTCACACAAAAACTTCTACCTGGCTTGACACAGAACCAGAGCATGGGGACACAGCTAGATCTCGGGATGTCAGGCACAGGACACCTTCCTAAGGGAAAGCACCAGAGGCATTCACAAAGGAAACAAACCATGTTCACTGAGAAACAACTAGCCAGTTTGGAATTCTTGTTCAGCAAGAACTCATATCCTGCTGTCAGGCTTCAGAAAGAAATGGCCTCAAAACTGGAGATCCATCCAACTGTGCTGCAGGTTTGGTTCAAGAACCACAGAACAAAACTCAAGAAAAGCCAAACAACAGCAATTATCTGGGGTGGAAGTCAAGACCAGCTCTTCCAAGAGACACATGGCTGCGGCTCCAGGACCCCAGGATGGTGCCTACCCTGCTTCCCTGGTGTACACAGATCACCCCATACCTTCCTTCCAACTCAGCATATGCTCCGATTGGAAGGCTCTCCCAGACCGTTCTGTTGGTCACAACATAGTCCATTTTGTCTGCTGCCAAGATCTTAACATCTACTCCCTTTGTCCCATTATGGAATTTCAAATTCTTTCCACAAGCTTCACTGCTAATTCTTTTAGTTCTTCATCTCCACAAAGAACCTAATGAGTGAAGCCAGATACAAAAGGTCACATACTGTAATGATTCACAATGATTCCCATACGAGGGATTTGAGATCTACACAACATGGATGCACTTCAGAAACATGCTCCGTGAAAGAAAAATAAAAGACACACAAGCACCCGTGTGGTGGAAATCAGCAGAAAGAGGTGCTCAACAAGCTTAAAGCGATGGGGATATTTCATGTTGTAATTAGGATGTCAGGAACCTGCAGGTATAAACTCATCCAAAGACACAGAACTATAATCCTCTATTACATACACCACAAAAAGCAATCATGTGACAGGATGAAGGTATGAGCCAATGCCATGGCAGTAATCATTTTGCAATATATCAAATCAGCATACTGTACACCTTACACTTGTATCTCAGTAAAGCTGGAGACAATTTTTAGATTATATCAGTAAATATATACAATGAGATTACTAAAAAAAAAGGCAAAAACAAAAAAACTTCTACCTGAAATTTGAAGTAGCATTATTCAGAACAGCCAAAAAATGGAAACAACTGGCTATCAATGGACAAATGAATAAACAAAATGGGGTATATCCATACAATGGAATATTATTGGGCCATAAAAAGGAGTAAGTACCAATACATGCTACATCATGGATAAACTTTGAATGAAAGTGTGCTCAGTGAAAGAGGCCAGACACAAAAGACCATGTATGACCCCATTTATATGAAAAGTTCAGAACATGTAGATCCATAGAGAAAAATAAATGATATCCAGGGGCTTTCCAAATGAGTGACTGCAGAGTTTCTTTTTGAGTGATGGAAATCAAATTTTAAGTAAATCAACCTATCAAAAAGCAAGGATGACTTATTTATGGCTAGAGAACAGAATGTATTAAGTATAACACATCTTGAAAATATAAAATAAGGGGAGCCTGGGTGGCTCAGTGGGTTAAGCCTCTGCCTTCGGCTTCGGTCATGATCTCAGGGTCCTGGGATCAAGCCCCGCATCAGGATCTCTGCTCAGCAGGGAGCCTGCTTCCCTTTCTCTCTCTCTGCCTTCCTCTCTGGCTACTTGTGATCTTTGTCAAATAAATAACTAAAATCTTTAAAAAAAAAACCCATATGTTAAAAAAAAAGAAAATATAAAATAAATACTTAAACAGAATGTGGAAGAAGGAAATAGAGAAGTAGAAGGAAAGAACACTAACAGCCACATCTTCAAAGTGGGGAGTCATAGACACTGTATTTTACAGAACAAGAATCAGAGATTGACGCATTTGTTTCAAGTTATAAAGGTAATCAAGGGAGAAACTAAAAATAAGATGTAACTCGATGGAGGTGTAAGTGAACTTAAGCATCATCTTTCACAATGAAGTTCCATAGATAATGCTTAAACTTAGTAAGAAATAATAACCACCTTTGAAACAAAACAAAACAAAACAAAAAACAGGACCTATGGAGATAACCAATGAAGACTAAATCCTGAAATGGTTAAAATGCTTACTTCTAGAGTAATAGAGAGAATGAGGTAGAGATTATTGCTTTTCATTATTAATCTTCTCTAAATTGCTGATTTCCTTAAAAGTAGGGAGTGTGAGACCGACTGAGACAGAGAGGGATGACAAAATAACTCTATTACAGAGGACAAAAATATTTAAAACGTAAGGATGGATATATAGTTGCCAATATGCAGAATATTAGTAGGAAAAGGTCTTTATTTTTAAGCAAAGCATGCACTGTTTCCACAGAAACAGCCTGCAAGATCTTTTTACCATCAAGAAACCTTGGGATATACATGCTGATCATCCAAACCCCTGGGAACATCATAGTCAACCTACAATTTATTGTTTCAGATTTTAGCAAGTTTGAAGCATTTATCACATAATAAAACGTTTTTAAATATCCCAAGTATCTACATGTAAATGTGTATATCTTTTTTTTTTTTAATTTTTTAAAAAAAACATACAATGTATTTTTAGCCCCAGGGGTACAGGTCTGTGAATCACCAGGCTTACACACTTCACAGCACTCACCATAGCACATAACCTCTCCAATGTCCATAATCCCACCCCCCTCTCCCGAACCGCAACCCCCCGCCGCAACCCTCAGTTTGTTTTGTGAGATTAAGAGTCTCTTATGGTTTGTCTCCCTCACGATCCCATTTTGTTTCATTTATTCTTTTCCTACCCCCAAGCCCCCGACGTTGCATCTCCACTTCCTCTTATCAGGGAGATACATTCTTAAACATATATAACCATTCATATGCTCAAATTTCAGTTTGCCACTGAACTTCATTCAGCCATCAGCTTTCCTACAACAGCGACCAATTTCCCTTTGAGGAAAACAAGTCAATAATGATGTATGTATTTCTCCTTCCAGCAAAGAATTGTGTTCTCTACCTTGATTATTACCATAACAGAAAAGCACATAGTTTGGCAAGGACATACCCGGGAGAGTCCACTTTCTGAAGGCAAAAGAAAGAAAGAAAGGAAAAATACCACAAACAAACAAATGTTTCTAACTTTTAGGGAAATCAATATTCCAGAGGAAAACAATTACATGCATGACTATAAAACCCCAGAAGAGACTTTTAAGTTCAATTCCAAATTCAGACGTACATTCTAGCAAATTCAGACACAGTAAAGTCATCAGCCATCTCTTTCCATGTGAAGAATGGGGAAGAAATGTTTTTGAAAAATACTTACCATTGTCAGTGGATGCTGACATGGTCTAAGTTAGTGATGACCAGCTAAGAGAGGATTTCAGGGAGAAGTGTTTTCAGTGTGGCTCCGGGATGATTAAAATCCTTGGTCAGACTGGTAATCAAGTGAAATGTAATATTAGCCTAGTTCTAATTTTAGATCTTGGACAAAGCTAAGAATAGCAAGGATCACATGGAGCTCTTGTGCAAAGGATCAAGTAATAGATAACATATGTGCATGTGTTCTGCACACGGCCAAGGCTACGTACAGCCATTATAAAACTCTCAGGCGTAACTAGTTCTAGACTCCTGAAAAAAATAACTCTTATTGAAAGTCCTTCCACTTTTCATAACTTACACATTTTGAATATTTAATAGAATATAATGCATCTATTCCAAGCAAAGAACCTTGAAAATATGAGAACGTTTGGCACAACAAAAAACCTACTTGGTAAACCACAGATCTGTAAATATGAAACTAAAGGTAATATCCTTCACAAAACAAGAAAAGTGAAGATGTAGACAAGTATGGGTAACTGAGGAGCTCCAAGCACCTGCTGCACTCAGGCTTCAAATTTAATTCTCTCTCATTCTTTATCTCTTCAGCCTTCATAGATAGGAGTTAATTCCAGGTTTAAAAAAAAAATTTGTATTTATTTTTTGTCTTTTGTTTTTAATGCTATACACTTTTATTTATTTATTTTAGGTAGGCTTCACACCCAGCGTGGAGCCCAACATGGGTCTTAAACTCATGATCCTTAGATCAAGACTTGAGCTGAGATCAAGAGTCGGATGCTCAAACAACTGAGCCACCTAAGTGCCCCTTGTATTTGGTCTTTGAATTGGTACTAGAAGCACAGAGAACAAAATTCAAAAGATGATGAATCCCACTTAGCCTCACCTCCAGCCATTTTGTTCTCCTGTCAGAAGTCAATCACTAGTGCCACTTCTACATGTGTCCTTCCGAAGATGGTCTGTGAATTTACGAACATAGATATGCCTATATTCATGAAAAGCATTCTCCATAGTTTGACAACCTCCCATTAGTGAACCCCACTTTACCAAAGTGGAATTAGGAGAAAAAATCCCAGCCACCCTTGCTACAGAAATGGGGAATGTGAGTAAGGTTCATGTACTTTGATTTAGAAGAAAAGAATGTGAGGAAATCAGCTGAGCAGCTAGAGTCCATTTTTGCTGGTGTAAGTACAGCAGAGGCAATATATTCTGGGATTAGTTTTAGCAGATTGAGTTTCCTCACCACAGTGGATGCAGCTGGTTCTGGGGGCAGCTGCAGCAGCCCCCTAACCAGGCCAGTTCTGTGGTAGTTCTAGGACTTGTTCTATGAACTAATACCCCTTCTTACTTAAACATGTCTGGCAGAATCCTGTCATATGGCTCTAAGAAACTGACATGACTATTTTAACTCTTTCTTGTTATATTTCCAAAAATATGCTTATATTGCTATTTCTTCATACACCAATTTCAGAACAATCTATTGATTTCATACATGGATGATGAAAGTTCTGTGGTCTTAAACCACATACTCACGACCATACACCTCCGCTCCCCTTGTCCTCCCAATATAGTTATGTCATAATTTTCCTTAAATCATTAGTGTTTATTATGTAAATATTATTAAACTAAATGTAATATAAATAATTACATTCCTTTCTTTTTGTACTTTTTTGTTTTTTTCCTGGAGTTAAGTGTACTTTTTTATTTGCTCAATTTTCTTTGTACCTATCACTGTATTTTTATATACTTGTCTCTTCCTCCAACCGATTTATTGAACATCACAAAATTCTATATACAAAGTGACCTGAACCATGTTTCAGAACATGGTCTTTTCTTTTTTCTTTTTCTTTTTTTTTTTTTAAGATTTTATTCATTTATTTGACAGACAGAGATCACAAGCAGGCGGAGAGGCAGGCAGAGAGAGAGGAGGAAGCTGGCTCCCCGTGGAGCAGAGAGCCCGATGTGGGGCTTGGTCCCAGAACCCTGGTATCATGACCAGAGCCGAAGGCAGAGGCTTTAAACCACTGAGTCACCCAGGTGCCAATCTTTTTTTTTTTTTTAAGATTGTATTTATTTATTTGACAGAGAGAGAGATCACAAGTAGACAGAGAGGCAGGCAGAGAGAGAGAAAGAAGCAGGTTCCCCGCTGAGCAGAGAGCCCAATGCGGGGCTCGATCCCAGGACCCCGAGATCATGACCTGAGACAAAGGCAGACGCCCAAACCACTGAGCCACCCAGGTGCCCCAAAACATGGTCTTCTCTTACTAATATTTTGATAGGTCAGTCCACTGAGTGTCCAAAACACTTACTCTAAAATTAATAGAAAATTGCCCAATGCACCTAAACAAATGGCCTAACTGCTGGAACTTTCATACTTTTGTAAGATAATTAACATAGGCAGGATTGAACTCCTATGACAGGCTGCTGGAGAACTTCTTCTGTGAGACATCAAGAGCCATTTTGTGCACTGCCACTGTGATGCCATCATGTTCCCGGATCATAATGTTCCCATTATCCAATTCTTGACAACCACAGGAATGTCAGTGGGGTGTGAGGTTAGCTTAGCTGCTTGCTGGGCTAGAAGAGATATCACCCCAGAATGCTCATCTGACAGGGCCCCATGGCAGCCCAGATCAAGTCCTTGTGAATCTGTGCACAGAACCCCAACAATGGGGTTGTTTTCTAAGACTTGTGTCTTCCAAGTGCTGCTCTAAAGTCATCTCCATCCTGTCTGCCATAAGCCCTAGCCTATATCTTTACACACCTGAATATCCTTGGAAAACTCAGTCTCTCAGTGCATCAGTTTCTTATTGGCAAAATGTAGCTAAAAACAGGATCTCTTCATGGGCTTTTGTGAGGATTAAATGAGTTATCATACAAAAGAGTTAACTATATATATATATATATATATATATATCAGTGTCTGATAGAAGTATTCAAAAAGGTTAGTTCTTATTACTACCCTCCAAAAGTAAAGCCAAAAAAGGAGAAGATAGGGATGGAAATGATTGCCATACGATCATAGGGAAAGGTTAGCTAACTCTGAAAGGGTTTTCTTCTGAAAGACAAAATCAAGGAGAAGGAAATTTTACAGTGAAATCAAGGTAAATAAGTGGCTTCATTCTTCACACAAAGTTAGGTATCTCATTTTATAATGTTACACAAATTGGTTTCTCTTTTCCTTCTATCATTGTGTTTGCCAGGTGCTTGGTGCCAAGGTGTGCATTCTGAGGTCACACAGGGATGTAGTTCATCAGAATCCATGGCCCCAAGTCCAACTGCAATGTTTGTATTTAAAAAAAGCAAACAAATTTAGGAGTGGGATGGCCAGGTAAGAGGGGTTATAATAGCATACTACAAATACAATGTCATTCGAAAGAACTCAAAGCAGGATCTCAAAGAGATATTTGCACACCCAAGTTCATTGTTTCATTATTTACAATAGCCAAGAGATAGAAGCAACCAAAAGTGACAGATGAACGGATAAAGGAAATGTAGTATATACATACAATGGAATATTATACCACCTTTAAAAAGGGAAATTCTGTAACACACTACAACATGGATAAAACTCGAGAACATTGTGCTATGTGAAATAAAACAGTCACAAAAGAACAGTCAATACTGTATATTCTACTCATATGAAATTGCTAAGTAGTCAAAATCATAGAAACTGAAAGTAGAAAGGTGGTTCATGATATGAGGAAATGTGTATAATACCATTTTGCAAGGAAGAAATGGGGATCACCTTTTTATTCTAGTCAGGCCTTCAGTAGATTGAATAATGCCACCCACACTGGAGAGGGCAACCTGCTTTCCTCAGCCTATGGATTCAAATGTTAATCTCATCCAGAAACAGCCTCGCAGACACACCCAGAATGTTTGGTCAATGTCTAGGTATCCCAGTAAAGTTCCCACATAAAATTAACCATCACAGTAGGCATCCCTATTTAATGCGCAAAAAAAAAGTTTAGAGTAAGGGATGTGTCAAAACCATCCAGCTGGGAAATTAGCTGAGCTCAATTCCAACTCAGATAGATCTGGCCTCCAGACCTTGACCATTGGGTTTTTCTGCTTCCTTTTAAAAAGAAGTTTATGGCAGTTACAGAAAATTATGTTTGTAGGTGGACACCAAAAATACGAAAGCAATTTTTATTATTGTTTAATGCATCTTTAGAAAGGCAGTGAATGGAGGTAGGGAGGAAGAGAGGTAAAAGTAGCAGGGTACCAAGATAGCTCCATTCCCCTTTCACTCTTCCATCATAACCTTGTTAACACATAGGCATATATTTAGAGAAAGATAATGGTTTTAAACACAAAACATTAAGATAGTTATTACTCTGTTTTATAAGGCATGATTTTTTAAAAGTTTGTTTATTTTACATAATCTCTATACCCAACATGGGGCTCAAACTTATGACCCTGAGATCAAGAGTCACATGCTCTCTTGACTGAGCCAGCCAGGCACCCCAAGCATCATCTTTTACAGAGTGTATTAAAACAACAGAACTAATGATAATTTAGTCATGCTTCTTCCTATAAATTCTGACAAGACTACAGTACTATAGTAATCCTATCAAGCATATCGGCATCTACTTTGTGAGACTCATTTATTCAAATAAGAACAAGAGAAAATAAAGGAACATAGGGAAAACAAGTGGAAAATAAGAGTATATATTACCTTGGGATTTTTATCTGTAATGCTCCCTTTATGAATCCCTGGAATCTTTTAATAAAACAAACTGTTATTTGTCAGAATGGAAGGTTTTGAAGCAGAAACACCATGTAACTAGAGTTCCAAGAAACATAAATGAAACATGCCCTCATCAGATCAATAATTTTTTAATGTTAAGAATTCTCTTTCGGGGCACCTGTGTGGCTCAGGCATTAAACATCTGCCTTCGGCTCTGGTCATGATCCCAGGGTCCTGGAATCAAGCCCCACATCAGGCTCCCTGCTTGGCAGGAAGCCTGCTTCTCCCACTCCCACTCCCCCTGCTCGTATTTTCTCTCTTACTGTGCCTCTCTCTGTCAAATAAATAAATAAAATCTTTTAAAAAAAAGAATTCTCTTTCAAAGATAGAATTTG